GAATGAACGAATGGCCAGCTAAGCTAAATGAAAAGTTGCTCGACTTTGAGTGTAAACAGGCTTTGCCTGTTCATTTTTCTTTTAAATATATGTTTTTACCGCAACAACAACAACAATCGAAAAAAAAACCCGCGCAAAACGACACCAAAACGATTGCAACTGTGTTTCGCCCGATAATTACGAGCAACTCGCGATGCCACGCCCCGTTGGCCCTCCCCCTTGATTCCGCCCCCTTTGCAACGCCCTATCCATTCCAATTTGTTGTTTACTCCGCCGTCTGCGTGCGTTTTTATGAATGAAATCCAGCAACAACCGAAGAAGAAGACGAGCACTCGTCGTTGGCCTTTACTTATTTATAGTTAATTTATTTTTTTTTTTTTTTTTTGCCCCGCCATCGTTTTACTTTTTCTTTTCTGTTCTTTTTTTTTTTGCTTTTCGTCTTGTTTTGATATTATTGTAAACAAATTGCGCCTTTGGGCACGTAATTAGCACACTTACACGATCGGGAAAAAAGACCGTAGTTGGCCCCACGGGTCTGGGAAATTGGAACGTGTCCATCAATAACTGTAACAAGGTCTCTTTCTCTCGCTTCTTGGCCAACAAAAGCGGAAGTGTTCCAAGCCACATTTCCGCCTGGCCAGCGACGGAGACAGAGAAATGTATTCGAAAAGTGGCACAAAGCTAAGACACGGCCGAACAATAGGGGCAGTCGATTGAAATATCTTATAAATCAGCAATATAAGGATAGTGGAATCAATATATCAATGCTCAGCTGGACAATATGAATACATTTGCTTGACCTTTGTGCTGACAAATAAATAATTCTTGCGATTACTATATTCATAGAATATTTGCTGGCCTTCATTAAATTCTCTTTCCTTTAGTTTTCTTCTAAAATGATTAAGACTCATTTTATATTAAATAATTCAAGTTAAATAATAACTATAACCTTCATATACAATTTAAATGTGTATATAAATATATTTTATGAATGTCATAAAATCTTTAAGCGCGTTAATAGTTTCCATCAAAATAAATTAAGTACAATTAAGTAAACAAAATATTATGCTTTTAAAAAATTTCTGACTAAAGAGTGTTTAAAGCTTCGACTTCGACTTAAGTAAGCCACCTTTTTTTGTTAATTCATATAAGAAAACAAAATATATATATATACATTGTATCTATAAAAGTTGACTTGGCGCGCGCGCCAGCAACAAAGTATATATTGTAGAAAAAGAGGTAGAAGAAGTTGGGGTAAAAAAAAGTGGGCAAACTAGTTTTTTGGTATCCGAGCATCCGTTGGCTCAGGTTGTTGTTGTTGTTGTTGTCGAGGCATTTTTCTCAATGGAGCTCTCCGAGATTGTAGACTTGGGCATTTTTTTAGGTGAATAATTGCGGTATGCTGTTGTTGTTGTTGTTGCCCGCTGGTTGTTTTTTATGCAAATATTTTTATATACGCGCCTATCTGTGTCTGCGCCATCCAGACACACTTAACCGATACGTAGCCATTGTTGTTGTTGTCGCTGACTACTCTCTTTCAATATTTGTTTGTCTTTTTTTTATGATTATTATTTTTTTCTGCCTTTGGATCGCATTGAATAATTTCTATATTTAGCATTAAAAAAATTCCATCGAAGAGAAAAAAGCATAGATTGAAATTATGAAAACATGATATGCGAAATCAAGGGGAAGCACGATTCGATTTATTATGGGATTTAAGTGTTATGCCTAAATTGCTGGTACAAAAATATTTTTGAAGGGATTTTGTAAATACAAAACATTAAGAATAATTGGAAAAAAACATTTATAAATTCAATTCTCATAAATTTAGTCATCAAGCAATCAGGGAATGTAGATATGATCTATTAGTTAAATGGAAAGAGATCAATTCTGTAGTATATCGATGATTGATCAATTAAATGGTTCTGTGGAAGTTCCCCAACTAACGTTGATATTCTATTAAATTAACGATGCTTTCCAGCGTAGAAATTCATTCACGAGAATCTCCAATCAATGGAACGTCACAAAGTTCATTAGAAACACGAATTCTCAATTCCATTGATGATTTCTGTGAAAAAAACCTCATGACCATAAATTTACGAAAATCAGATCAACGATTCAAAAAACTTGTTTGAAGATGGTCAAATTAAAAATTGTCAAATCATGTCAAACATATCGGATGTATTGATTAGCATAAAAATTCCATAAATTACCATTAGAGGTGTGGCCAACGAAAAAAAAAAATATTGTTCGATTTATGTGAAGATGTATTTTCATAAATATTTATTGCGTGGTTTGGCATTAAGCATACGCACTGTTGCCGCGTTTGTTCCTCTGTTTGGATTGTGGCCTATAAACCATTTTCACACCTGGCTGCAACATCAGAACTTAGCTTGGCTAAATGGCCAGAAACGGAGTCTCTGCTTGATTTGTTTATACATTTCTCAGTGAATTGGAATTTGTGGCAGACTCTTTTGATATTCCATTTACATTCCCCGCCAACGTTTTTCCCACTCTTTGGCTTTTGGCCATGCCACGCGCACATACACCGAGTTGTTTAGGCCAAATATGCGTGGCTGATCTGTTTGTATATGGCCAACAAATTGCCCGATCTCTGTTGTTGTTGTTGTTGCTGGCTTTATCCATTCATACATTTTGGACGGTCTGTCGCTTTGGCATTCATTCATTCATTCATAGATTGACTTGCCCAGCCAAGCGAGAAGTTGAAGTCGCTGACGTAGCATTCGCTGGCTGCTCTGCTCATCCAGCGTTTACGTTTTCATTCATTCACACACACATGTGCAGTGAGAGAAATTGGGAGTAGAAATTCCGAAAAGATTCTTAAATATCAGTGTATTATTGTAACTAATAATATCTAAAGATTTATGGAGTTCTAGATCATGCTAGATCATATTGCAAAAATGCATCTTGCAATTCAATGTATGTTGATTAATCATTTTATAATCCAAATTAAAAAGAAAATATTTTTAATTTTTTTTTCTTTTTACTTGTTGAGCTTGGGAACTTGTCTCAGTGTATCGGCACACACATGCACCACCTCATCACCCCTCTCACTCCCCACCAGTTTCACCCATTATACCACACCATACCGAACCGTACCACCATCATTATGACCATCATCATCGACTTCTCGTAGTCGTCGTGGTCGTATTTCATTCATGAATTTTCTTTCATTCAGGTCTTCCCCGTCTCCCATCTCACTCCCCCTCCCGTTTTTGTCGTGCCCTCTCTTTCTCTCTCTCGCCGTCTCGCTCGTTGTTGTTGAAAACGTTTTTAAATACCGGAACTGAATGTTTAGCGCTTTTAAGCATGGGAACTTTTTGTTTTCTTCTATCAACTTTCCCCTCCCCTCTCTCTCCCTCCCTCAGCCTCCTTCCTTACTCCCTCCCTTTCTCGTATTTTGTTTCCGTCTCTTTCGCTCCCATATCCCCCTCTCTTTCCGGCTGCTCATTCACTGCCTTTTGTGGATCTATTCCGTTGTGTTCTATTCTCCAATAAGGCGTTTTTATTGCAAGTTTCCAAACAACAGGAATTCTATGCTCAATTTTTTTTTTTTTTTTTTTTTTTTTTTTTTTTTTTTGGGTTTTTGTCTATTTTAGGTGTTGTGTTGTGATGCTGTTTTGTTATGCTTTTTTTTTATATGCGTTCCAAATTTATTGCAGACATTCGGATTTCAAAATTTATGAACCAAGTCGAACCGTATTCCATTGGTTTGAAAAAACGGTAAAGAATATATTGCTAAAAAGCTGATAAAAAAGATAAAAGGATGCAGTAAAGTGTTTATAAGTACAACTTCACAAAAAAACTATATTTTCTAGCAAATCCTTTCTAAAAGCTGACATTATAAGCTTTCATTCTTAAGGGTAATCCTAATTCGAACCCTTTTTTTTGCTGCCCAACCCCATTGCTCGATTATATTGTCAATATTTTCCTTTTGATTACTGTTGATATTTCACGCCTCGGCCTCGTAGCAAGCAACACCAGCCAAGAATTCCATTTTCAGGGCGTGTTTTCTCAAATGACATTTGACATAATAGATATCCGATACATGATATATGGCAATCCCAATCCCCCCGCTCTCTCCTCGTATGGACACTTGATTTATAGCCAGATCGGGAGTGGGAACAATGGAACCGACTTGACCTATGATCAGAATTCGCATTGTTATGGATTTGGGGGGAAAGATAACGCCAAGAACTTTTCGGTGGACGTTGGCTTAGTCATGAAGTCAGTCAGCATTGAACTCTTGACCCGGCCGGCTAATTGGTTTTGGTATCGCTCATATCGTTCGGTTATAGCAATTGCGACTTTAATTGATCAAATGCGACAGATCAGTTGAGTTGAGCTCTCCGCTGCAAACAACTTTCATTTTTCATCTAGAGCGAGTGTGCTGCCGCTGCAATTAAATGTGCCATATGCGTGTGGAGATATATGGATAGTGGTTTTGTGGGTGTCAAGTGTAATGGCTATAGGGCGGCTGCTAAATATAGCTAGAGTTTCTTGAACAACAACAAAATAAATAAATAAATACGGCAAACTAAGACTCGGACCCAGCCCAAAAAAGTTGCATTGCAAAACCTGATGTACAGAGAAAGAAATCTAGTTGCTATTCGATATTATACACTAAAGATATCTAAAAGATCTTAAAGAATCGATTGGTTGCTCTCTCAAGTTCTTAAAGATTCTACTAGATTTAAACCCAGGTTATAATACCTAATCGATCGGTATTGTTTTCCGTGTAGATGCTGCTGCTTTTGATATTGCTGGCGTGGGCATTTTACAAATGGCAACCAGTTGAACAGGTGTCTGCTGACGTTGTTGCCTGTGCATTATGCAACCTGCCATTGCCAGTTGTTGGTTTTATTTTTGTGTTTGCCTTTTTGCCCAGATCAATGCAAACGCGTTGCACGAGCCACACACACACTGGTAATTAGCCAGGCTAATCAATAGTTACCAAACTCTATGACTAAGTTACTCACCCCCACTTGGTAAAGGATTCGCAGATCCCGTTCGCCGTGCTTGTTGATGTTGCGATGTTGCTGCTGTTTCTGCAACATTTGTCGCGCGTGTCGCCGCGATTCGGCGAGATCCTTTTCCACCGCCGCCGTGGAAATACTGACCACGGTCAGTTGCTCGGCGGCGGGTTTCACTGTACTGGTGGCTGCTGCTCCTGCTGTTGCTACTGTCATATCTTTGGCATCGTAGACGGTGTACTCCAGACTCTTGTGCTTGTCCGCCGTGGACGTTGTCGGCGTGATCTCGAACACCTCGAGCGGCAGTCGCGTGCCGCCGACAGCAACGACGGCAACGGCGGTCAGCAGCAGCAACGGCAACATGCACGGCAGCAACATCAATGTCGTTGGCATGATTTATGGCTTTTTCGGCCCTCTGGCTTTGGGATCTTTTGGGATCTCGAAATCTCGTAATCTCACGGAGTATCGGAAACTCGGGATCAACTCCTGGTTCGATTGGTTTTGTGCGTGCGGTTTTTGTTTTTGCGGTTGTAATTGACACTCAATGAATTTTGTAATTGAATTCGAATCAAATCAAATCGAATCGAATTGAATTGAATCAGTGTTCTCGCTCTATCTCGCTCGCTCGCATAGAACCCATGGCTTACATGCACACACACACTGGCAGAAACGAACTCTACAAATCAGGTTTCGAATCGAATCAAATCGACTCGAATCGAACGATCGATTGATTTGTGGCGAATGTCACTCGAAATTATTGGATAATTCAGATTCCGATTCAGGCACTATGATACCACGATCGTTCGATAGTTTCTGTTGGTTATTCAGTAACTTTACACCCGCGACGTCTGAGTCTCGGTGGCCTCGTCTTTCGCTCCTGGAACGCTTGCTCTTTAGTACCGCTGGTCTCCCGACTCGCTTACTCGCTTCCGCTGCCTCGTTGTCGCGTTGTTCGCTCGACCAATTTTCTTCTCGAACTGATCAAACAGAAAATCCAAAAGCGAACGGCGAACGACGGCCGAGAGCCGGCAGCGCAGTCCGCTGCTCGCGTCGCTGCCGGTGCGTGCGTGTCTCTACACTGCAAGAAAATTTAATATAAAAAAATAATAATAAATAAATTAATAATAATAAAAAAATATAATTAAAGTAAATCTGTATTAGCCAACAGGCATGACCATAAACCAAATATGATCACTTTAATTTCGGAAAACAGGCTAATTACCAACTAATTTAAAAACAAACGGAAATACACAAATTCTACATTTAAATTCAATTAGTCCGCATTAAAAATCAAACTTAAATTTTTTTAAGTGTAAATGAATTTTTTTTTCATTACAATTCAAAATATAAAATTATTTCGCTCCATATTCTACCAATAATTTAATTATCCATGTGTCTTGATTGAACTTGAACGTTTTTGTTCGCTGTGTACGAGCGGCAGCGGCAGAGCGTGAGAGAGCACGAAAGAGAGCGCGTCGTGGGCTGGATATGAATGAATGAACATGTTGTTGCTGCTTTTCCCGCTGGTGGTTGCAGCATCCATGGCTGGCGAGTGCGCCTGTGTGCGTTCGAGTATCTGTGAGATGCATCTGCAAGGGTGTGGGTATCCGCACGGGCGTATGGGTGAGAGCGAGCGGATGGCAAGGTGTCTCTGGCTCGCGTGCTTGGCTTAAAAAAAATAAGAAAAAATAAAATACAACAAAATAACAAAAAAAAAAAAAACAAGAAAGGGGGCCTCGCAGCCAAGCGGCTTTTGCCGCTTCCGTTGCATCCTTTCGGCCGTTTTTGCTGCCGCCGTGTTGTTTTTGTCATCTTTACTACGGCACCGGAAACTAATTCCTGCCTTAGCCACAGCGACTTGGACTCCGCCTCCTCCTGGCCTTCTTTGTTCTCCTTCTGCCGTGCTTTCATGTTTGGGCTTCGTTCTTGTAGCGCATGCCAAAAAAAGAACATCAGAAAAAAATCCAGAAAAGAGTTTACCAAGAAAGGAAGATCCGCTTCCAAAGTCGAAGCTTTAAGTTCCCTTCAGTAAATTTGAATCTTTTGGTAATACTTTAAAAACAAATTAAATTAAATTTAGAGTAAAAAATATTATACATACGTTGAGTATTAATATCCGAAATTTCACTCCTAAGAACAGTTTTTTTTTTAGGTGGAAAATCTAAAAATTATTATGTAGACTTTACGCGAAGTTAAATATGGTTGAAATATTATTTACATTAGATACAAAATTCGGCATATCTATAACTGAATATACTTTAATTTATCAAATAAAATTTTAAGGATATTCTTTTAACTTTTCCGGGTGAAGAATTTTTATTTTATCACCAGCTTATAAGCTTGGTTTAAGATTGTAGTACCTTTAGCTAAGGTATATAGAGAGTTCGAGAGAGACCTGGAAACGATCTCCATCTTCAGCTTGGAAGTTCAAGCGAAAAACGCGCGCGGTTCGGCAGAAAGCCCGCCAATTTTATGGGCCAAACCCGATAAGATTTCATTTGTTTACGAGTTACCTTGAGACGCGCCACAAAAACAACAACAACAACAACAATAACAGGAGAAAAAAAACAGGCGATATGGAAGCATTAACCAGAACCGAGAACTCCAACTGAATGGCGGCGATTGTTAGTGGAGGTTTCCCTTTTCCCGTTTCCCGTTTCCCATTTCTCGTTGCCTTTTTCCAATTCGATTTCTAGCTAACGACGACTACCCAACAGCTGATCAAAGAACGTATCTCTTTCGCTATCATTCGCAGGTAAAATGTACGCGGTAATTGGCCGGCGGCACGGCAAAATTCTCTCCGGTGATTTGACCCAAGGCAGCGGCAACTTCGCGGTCACCTGTCTGCTGCCGGTGATCGAGTCGTTCAACTTCGCCCAGGAGATGCGAAAGCAGACATCTGGCCTGGCCTGTCCCCAGCTCATGTTCAGTCACTGGGAGGTGAGTACTGTACAGTGAAACTAGAAGAGTTGAATTACTAAAATCTGTTGAGATTCAGAAAGGTTGGTCCTTGGGCAAAAAGCAACTTAATCCAAAATTCGGATTAATACTTCGAAAACAATTATCTTGTTTACCTCAAATTAAGTTATATGTTAATTAAAATATATTATTTTCGTAGCTCAAAGAACAATTTTTTAAACCAATGGTCTGTCCTCTATTAATTAATATTCTTTAAAAACCATAAAGAAAGAGTCTTTGTGTAGAATGTAGTGCAATGAAGTGCATTACTTTTCAAGGATATTGTTTGCATTTTTTATTTTCTTTAGCTTATATTGTTTACCGACTGGTTAGATCATGAAATCTTACCTAGAAATTTGTTTTTCTGTGAGTTATACTGTTTTCAGAATGAGGCTAAAAAGTAAATAAATCATTCGTATTATTTTACTTTTTACACGTACATAGAAAGTTGTTCTTTCTACATTTGCTTACAAAAATTAGTCACAATAAACCCAGTCATACAGATTGGCTCAGATCAGATAAAAGAAAATATTATTTTGGTTTTTTTTTTCTGTTCTAGTAAAGCTTGTTCTTATCTACGAACCTTTTCAATTTTAGCCAGAAGAAGATTGCTTTTTGAAGTTCTTAAGAATGATTGATTCTAGATCATTTTAAAGTAAAGTTATAGAACGTAGTTAGTAATTTTTTGTTAGGGAAGGCCGACTGTATCTGGCAGAGATTGCTGGAGCAGCTGTTGCCGCTGATGGGGCACAAGTGCAGCGCCTGTCCGACCATATGCCATGTGCGTGCCTCACTGTACTCCCCCAATTCCCGTGCCCCATCCGCAGCTCCTTCGTCTGCCCAAGACTCTCGCTGGCAGTCTGTGGTCAATAAAAATCTCAGCTTACGCTGACTCTGGGCCTTCTGTTACCTTCTGTTGAAGTCTTATAAGCAAAACCACAGCCAGCAGCAGTAGCAACATGGCAGCAGCAACATCAGCGGCAGCAGCAGCAACGGCAACAGCAGCAACATGGCAACAGCAGCAGCAAAGGCAGCAAAAGCAGCAACAGTTGGACTGAAAGTTATATGGTCCATTTGAAGCTGCAGCTGTGTGCCATTCGAGGTAACCCAAAGCCCCAAACCAGACCCAGACCCTCTCTCTTCCAGTCGCCTCCTTTCTCCATCGCATTCTGACCTTGTCGTGGGCCACAATTAACAGTCAAGTTGATGGTTTTTCCCTTCGGTTTTATGCTTTTGGCTAAAAACGGATGGGACAAGATCAGCGGATGAGCTAAGCTCGTCCAAAAATATTAATAAAGTTTGCACAACCAACAAAATTGTGGATTTTTACTAAAGAAAATGCTTTAATCAACTAATATTAAATGTATGTCTCTCTTAGTTGTATAGGAAATATGGATATTAAATTAACATAATAGGTAATGCCAAAATCATTAAAGATTTTAGCATTAAGTTTATCTTACGAATAAGAAATATAAAAGGATAAAAAAAGAAGTTCATTTCTGATATGTAAAGATCCAATTTTTTTAATGATTTTTTTTAAGACTCACAACTTTTTCAAATATTTAGTGTAGATTTAATTAGTTTTGTCGCCTGTACAAAAAATATTTTTGATGTGCGTGCATTTTGCGTTGGTATTAGTTTCTCTATCGGTGTGTTTATACTAGTGTTGGTCATATCGCCCAACCAATCGATAACAACAAGTTTTTGTATAATGACTTCCGGCGATTTTCTATTTCTCGGCTCAAGTTTTGCCGGCGACGGAGATATTGTTGCTTCGTATAATTTCTTACGCATTTCCAACGCCAGACAGCAGGAAAAGTGGAAAAGGGGCGGAAAATGGGAGGGGAGTCAGATTGCACGGAAAAAAAAAACAAGTTTGCTGCAAGACAACATTGTAAAACCCATTAAAAGGCATATTTAAATTTAAGCTTCTGAAAATTAAGAGAAATGAAAAAGTGTTAACTTAACTTCTTGAAAATTGAATCAAAAGTATTTCTTAGATATCATAATATATTTAATAGACCTATTCTCTTAATTCTCTTTTGGTTCATAAATTTACTTTTAATAAATTTAAAAAGAACTTCTCTCTGTGCTTGAATTAAGTCCATATTACAACTTCTATCTGCGTGGATATCTAAACTGAAACTAGTTTAGCCAGGACAAGTGAAAAAGTATCTGATAGATATTCGATTCGATTACGATTTCAACCATTATTCTGGGCAATGCTGAAGTGAAAACAATTAGGATTTCAAATAACCTTTCGCCCGAGCAATTAAAACTGTTGGCTTCAGCACTTTGTCCACGCCCACATGTTTTGCCCAGTGGCCTTCTCCCCGCCCCCTTTTCGGACCCAACCCCTCCCTATTTATTTGTTTTTTCCTTCGTTTTTTTAAACCCTACCTGCCAGGTGAGTGGGCCGGGCTCTCAGCCGTGGGCGCAGTTGTCACGTGCCCATAATAACAACGAAGGCGTCAACTTCACTCGAGTGGCCAACTTCTGGTTTGGGCCAAAACGGGTGAACGGGTAAAAAGGGCTTAAAAGTGGGTGGGGTGGGGGTGGGGGTTTGGGGAGTCGTGTTCCCAAAAAGCCATTTCCATTTCTTGCCGCATCATGGCCCACAATAAGTTCGTTAAGCATCTGCATCGTCGGATCAGCAGATCAGCAGCCGCAAGAAATCATCATTGAGGATGACCTTTTAACGTGGAAGCTGCCGAGTTGAGCTGCAAGTTGCAGGCAGACTTCCAGCTGAAACAGAAACCAAAGACAACAAAAACTAATTTTCAGTTTTCATATATCATAATTTTTCTTGTTATTGCCGTTGCTCTTTCACTTCACGTAGCAGCATTAAGTCGGCTGACAGGAGCTAAAGAATGTGGCCTACAGTGCGTTTAATTTAAGATATGCGGATATAAAAGGTTTCTAATTAAAGGTAAATAACATTTAAAATTAATTTTATTTTTTTTTTTTCAATTACTAACTCATTTGTGCATTTTTAAATTATATTTTCATTAGAGTTCCATTTTTATTTGTGGTACATATTTAATGGTTAATATGTTTCAATGCTTAAACATAACACAGCGTTGTTTGTGATTATCATTTGAATTAAAAATCTTTGTTAAAGCGTAAAAAAAACTTATTATAGCTAAGAAAAGATTAAACTATATCTTGAGTATTTTCTAGATTCTAGGCAGCTCATTTAAAGATTTTTTTGTTTTAAAGTTCACTTATCATAGGCGTTTTATAAACATAAAATATCTTTCTGTATTCAGACGCTAATATTTGATACTATACCAACTATATATCATTTTGTTAAAGGAAATACAGGATTATGCTCAACAATCACACAACCTCTTGCCTTACAGTAATGAAACGCACTGTTTAACCGACAAATATCTCTTGGTCGGGTGGCTACTGTCTTGCGCGCTTTTGTTATTATTTAATTTTGTGCTTCCTTTTGTTTTGCCCCAAACTCCACCTCCCCGCTGGCTGCAACACTCGTCTCATCTCTTCTGGCCACTTGATGAACCCGAAGATTGTTATTATGATTACGTGTATGTGCTGGAGACAGAGGGACGGGGCAGGAAGAGGGTCAAGACCTGCAGCCTACCAAAAAAACAAAAAAAAAAAAAAAAAGAATAAAAATAACATAACAACTTTGGCTACTGGTCTTACTTTCGACCCGCTCTGCTCCGTGTTTTTTTTTTATTTTTTTTTCTTCTCGTCCGGAGTGTTGCATATGATTTGGTTCTGGTTGTTGTTGGTGTTGCTGGTTGTTGGTTGTTCGTTGTTGTTGTTCCTGCTGGTTGTCGCGCTTTGCATGCAAGACCTCAGCTCTGGAACTCTGGAACTACTTCAAAAGCATAACAGCCACGGCCACAACAAACTGTGAGCAAAGAACCAAGACAAATAACAAATAATCTGATAACTCGTTTTGTATACCTGCCACAGTCTGCCCCCCACCAAAGGGAAAGTCTACGGTGGAGACAGTCGATGGCAGGAGTGTGGAGAGAGGACTTGGAGCTGGAGGCGGGGTTTTAAGGGAGCAGAAGAGGGGGTGTGGTTCGCCCGAAGGAGGAGGGGGAGAGCATGGCAGTGCCCTAAAGTCTGCCTGGTGCGAATAAACACACACACATAAACACACTTGCCGAAAAATATTTACAACATAAACAAAGGAAACTATTTAATTAAATTTACCCGAAATAAGATGGATGTACATTTTCTACTATTTTTTAAAATTTTAAAAATAACGATAGGAATAAAATCTTAAATCTTTATAAAATGTAATATGATATTTTTTTTGTAGTAAAAATATTAGGACAAATATATAATATTTCATCATGTTCTAAGCATGTAAAATATTTAATTCGAATATGTAAAATGTAAAATATAATATTTATTGGATTCAATCGTTTAATTCTCACTTATATTTTTTGATTAACGTTAAATGAATTGTGTAGCTTCAAATATTAGATAACCATTTTTCTATAAAGAACATTTCTTAATTTGTAAAAAAGTATTTATTCTACAAAATAAAATCATTTACATAATTGTAATTAGGAAAGCAAACTATCTTTTTTCCTGTGCAGGGATATATCCATGCCAAGGCAAGTGTTTATCCAAGTGGCCAAAGGATTGTTGTTGCTCTCGTTGCTGCTGTTGTTGTTGTTGTTGCTGTTGTTGTTCTTAAGTGGAACGTGGTTTGCATTGTCCGCTCGCTGGCTGTCAAAATGACGCTCATCGTGGTCCGTCCGTCGTCCGGCGACCGTTGGCTGTTGTCCGTTGGTTTTTTTGTCCGTTCGCTGGAGACTTTTACTGGCCGAGGCCCCCAAGTCTCTCGAATCAACTCAACTCGACTCGAATCGAGTTATATTCTTTGGGCCCGGTCTCTTTCACAGTCTTTTTCAGCCAGTTTCTGGCGCGCGATAATAATCTCAACTTCGTCTTGGTCGCGGACGGACTGGCGGACAAACAGACTGGCGGACAAACGGACAAACGGACAGACGGACGGCAGCGTATTTCGGTAGCTGCCGCGTAAATTACCTGCATACAAACCGCGCGCGGTCGGACAGGTAAACACACACTTACTCACACACACAGAACACCACAGCACACCACTCATAAGCACACACAGATACCGAACACGTGTGTGCAAAGAGAGTTGGAGATACAGATACAGAGCGATATACCATATAATATAGTGCCGTACCGAGTGAGTGTGTTGATGTCACGTCGTTTAGTTTTGGATTTTTGTTTTGGTTTTCGCGGCTGCTTCAATATTTTTCTTAATATTTCATCCTCAAGATGCGAGAACGGTCGTTGTGGAGGTGATTTCCCCCGGAGTGGGTGATTATGGTGGAATAGAGTCTTGGGTTTGCCTTGTAATCTGGAGCGTGGTGGTGCATTAGTGAGGATGGTTATCCACCTTATTTGGAGGTTCTTTTTCCAGCAGGACACTGGCAAAAAGGCTATATATATATATATGCCAAGCTCATGTGTACTTGATTATCTACCTTGATCCCTTTAATATAAATTATGAAATATATGAATGTTTAAAAAGCCAATTTATTTCATTAATTAAGAGGTTTGGTTATACTGAAGTCACATTTATAAGTTCTTGCCTCTGCTCTTCTTACTCTATTTTATATGAAATTTATTTCTTTTTAGTTTTAACCATAGAAAAAAAGTATTTTAATTGTTATTCTTTTAAAGCTTTTATTCATATAAAATTATTTAGAAAAAAAAAAAAACAATCTAATTCTAGAGCCAATTAAATTTTTAGCATAGATTAATATTTTTCGTAGCATGTTGCTAAATTCTTATCAGATTATCCTTGAATCCTTTATATTTAAGAAAAATCCCCAGTTTTTTAGCAGTGTACTTATCTGCCTGCTGGTGGCTGGCTGCTCATTTGTCTGGCCCGACTCAGACGCAAGTTCTGCGCACTTCTGGAGCACTTTAGCTGCCACAGGGTCTCCTCCGTTTTCTGTCCGAGATTTGGAGTGGGAATCTCGGGAATGGGGATGAGAATGGGAATGGGAATGAGAATGAGGACCGAGAAGGAGGAGACCGATGGAAAGATGGGATGCTGCTGCGCATGCGCAGAACCATTTGCAAAAGGATGGCAGACTCGCTTTTGCGTTTCTTCTCTGTTGTGACAGGGATTGCGAACTGAGAACTGCGAACTGCGAGCTGCCAACTGGGATTGCCTTACCTTGTCGAGGACTACTGCTTGGCTCCCTTTAGTGCCCCCATTGTTCCCCTCGATCCCCGCGATCCCCTTGGCCACTTGGCGTTGTTGGCTGTTGTTAAACAAGCGAAACTTTGTGCCCGATAATGATCTACATGGGATTGCTGAGATGTTCGAGGGCCCGCAGTTTAGCGTAGTGCGAACAGATGGCCCAGAACACGCACTGGCAAAAAAAAAAAAAAAAAAACATTACAGAATCGGTTATTTAATCTAATTTGCCACACTTATAAAAGAGTTTGTTGTCCTGGAATTTAAGTACTTATGTTTATACCACCCAAACTATTAATATTTACCATATTATTAAGCCCAGTGAAATCCTGTTAATTCTTTGAAGAACCAAAAACTTCTCAATATTATATTAGGTACATATTGTTTTTTGTAATTATTATGATTTTTTCACTGTGCCAAGAAAAGTTTCTTGCTGACTAAAGGCCAACGCCTTAGCATCTCAATCAGTTTTCGAGCAAGCTCGCTCATTGATGAGGGAATTCATAAGGAGTAGAGCCGAAATTCTGGAGTGGGAGAGCTGAGTTTTTCCAGCGAACCGCTCGACACCCGCCCGCTGAGACTCGAGAGTCCTTGCAGGAAGAAAATAAAAAAAAAAAGAAGAAGGAAAACAAAACAATGCAGATCTCACACCAGAGATTCTCAAGTGGTTCGCCTCGCAGGAGGCAATCATCAATCAAGCGCAGGGGAACGCTCTTCACGCCATTGAGGAAGTGGCCCGTTCTCCGGTTCCCCGGAATGGTACTGCGTATCCTGCGTATCACGTAACGCGCAATGCGTGTCCCTGCGTCCTTTGAAAGTCATTAAGCGTTCGAGTCCTTTGTCGCAGCCTCTCGAACACAAACAATGAAGATGTGAAAATGCACGCTTTCCCTGCCGACGGGACAAAAGGGCTCCTGGCCCTTAAAGGCCCGAAAAAACCCATTCCGAAAACCCAACCCATCGAAATATACTCGTTTGTAACCCATAGCAAATCCAATTCAATCCAGTGCGAGGCGCAGGCGCATAGACACAGCGACGCCTTCGATTCTTTGTCCTGTCTCAAGTGCCCAAATGATTTCGTGGAATTTACACCCTGCGTCTGCTCATTGCTCACTGCTTACAGGTGATTGATATCGATCCCTTCTGGCTGCCCACAACCGAGGAGGAGCTGATGCACTTCGGCGAGAAGGCCGACTCCGCCAACCGGGCCAAGGTCTACATGGACAGTGTCCGCCGAAGGAAGGGACTCTTCGTGGACGAGCAGGTGGTGGAGCACGCCGAGAAGCAGCGCACCCTCTCCAAGAACAAGTGATTCTCTGGCGATTCATTCGGGTAAGATTTTTACTTCTTTTTATGTACTTAAGGATTTAAAACAGAATTATTGTAGATGAAAAGTATGGTGGTTAAGATGATGGATAGTTACCTAAAAATGCACAGTGACAAACTAAAGAATTTTCGCTTGATTTTAATTAATTTTTTGTAATTTTATCCTAACATCTTTCAAGATATCTTTTGTTTAATCTAGTGTAGGATTACTAGTAAATTTACTTTTTAGTTTTTACATGTGGCAAGTAAAAAGGTGTAAAATTAATGTACAGATTCAAAAGTCAACAATACGAAAATATATAAAATTAAATGATTTATGAAAATTTATATTTTATTACATTATATTTTTTAATTGTCACATCAACAATTTCTAAATATTTGCAAGACATAAAATTATTAATGATTTAAAATGGCTTTAATACTTACTAGCCAAATGTTCAATGCAGAATGTTTAAAAATTAGACAATAGTTGATTTACTGAAAGGTATAAAAATATCTCTGTTTTTATTAGAAAATCTTGTTTTGATGGGATTTTAAATCTCCTATGCAGCAGCTGCCATTTATGCCTTATGTCTTTTTGTATAGGAATCATAAAATGTGAATTGTATTGTTTAATTTTGGTCAGCGGTTGCCTTTAACTGGGGAACAGGCTCCTTTTGGCCAATAAGGCCGCTCTCATTCTCGGGAACTTCCGGAACGGCAAGTGAGTTCTTGCCCAAAACCACGTGAATACAACTGGCATAAAAATGAAAATTAAATAAATAAAAATATATATAGATATATACCGATCACATACAGTATCATTACAAAGACGGCCATCTGGGTGGCAATAGTTAGCATAAAGACGTTTCCTCCGTAATTATTACTTTTGGTGGCCCGATAAAGTTGCGAATAGCAAACTCCACTGATAAAGGGAACTGCATTATCGCAAACCGAGAGCAGGGCAAAAACCTTTCCCCTCTCCGATGTGGGCACAATTTTCGAGGTCATGGCCCGGATCATGGGCCCCACAATTGGCCCCAAACTGCAGACCACGGCTCCCGCGTAAAGTAGATCCGTATTGGTGGCGAAATAGAAAAACAATCGGGCTATTGAATGGGCCCAAGTGCCAATAAAGATGATGGTCTGCAATAAATTGGGAATTTAAATTATGAGAGGGCCACAAAAATAGAACCACTTATAGAGGATTATGTCATTTCTTTTCGAGTCATTGAAGTTTTAAGTTAAAGATTCAACTCAAAATCATATCGATTTATCTGGCTGGATGAAAATGTTAATGCGGCATGATGTTTAGCTTTTGAAATAGTATTTTGAAGTTAAAATTGGATTTTAGAAACCTTTAAGTATGCATGTTTGGTTTAGTAAGGTCTTATCTGTCCGAAAAATTAAATTTAATTTTTTTAAAAATTTTATTTTAAATTTAAAATAAAACGCGAACTCTTCGGGAATTTTTGCGGAACAGTTGTAGGTTAGTACTTACTGTATCCCTCCATCCTAGGACCTTATTCATTAGGGGCACAGCCAACAGCATGGCAATCACGTAGGCCGACGACTTGAAGGTTTTGAAGTTGCTGTACGCACTCACATCCCAGTCGAACTTGTCTAAGGTGTACATGTACAGGTACTGCCCCTCGTCCCGCTGGAAGGTGTAGAGGGCCATGCTGACCAGCAGGATAATGAGGAAGCTGCGCCGGTGTCCCTTCCGGGACTTTACTAGCACCGCCAGCGAGTCCTTCACGTGCTGCTTGTCGAAGAAGTCGCCCCAGAATCCACAGCACCCGAGTTCCCTCAGCGAACGCTGCTTCGGAGTCGTTTGCCACTGAAAGTTTGATTGGGAATATTAGGGGATTAGCCACTTGTTAATATATGTGACTATACACATTAATTATGAAAATTATAAATGAAATATATTACTCTATTCTGTTAAAAAAAATCAGGAGAATTCGTTTAACGGGCAATACTTTTTGCCAAGTAGAAATTGTCTTAAAAGTTTTTACTGGATTCGTTTGACTGGTTTTGTTTTTCAAAATTTACTTTGACTTTGAGTCATAATTTCTGTAATAGTTATAAGTTAAATAAAATTTTTTTTCTATCTTAAACATATTAAGAAATATTGTAAGTATAAGTAGTATTGTACACCCAAAAGATTTTCAAAGCCTTTTAGGAACAGGACCTAGAACCCTTCGAAACTCACCTTGAGGGCGCACAGGCTGTAGATGATGGCCAGGGCGATCAGGGAGGCGTTAACGGTGAACATGTCCGCGTAGGACTGATCGAAGACATTATAGAAGAGGTGGGAGCCCAAGGCCACGCCCAGGGGCATGGCACTGAGGTAGACGACGTCCAGGATGGTCACCCGGATGGTTCGCTGCTGCAGCGTGGAAATATCCGAGATGTAGGCGAAGCAGGAGGCAAAAATGGCCACATCCGCACCGGTCAAAGCCGATGGCAGAGTGGCAGAGTAGATGATGTTCTGCACCGGCCACGTGGGCATCCTGGCATTGACCACCACCATCGAGGAGTAGACGAACTTGCCCACCAGTCCCATCAGCAGTGGCAACTTTCGGCCACGACGATCGGAAAAGGATCCCAAAAACAGGGCCAAAATAATTGGGAATATGTGCGCTGATATGTTCTCCCACTGGAGGAACCAGGCGTTGGTCAACAGCGACTGGTCCTTGAACTCCTTGTTCTCCGGCTTGTTGAGATTCCGGCAGATCTCCTCCGTGAAGTTGTTGTTCACCCGACAGGACTTGTACAGGAAGAAGTTCTGCTCCACCACCGAGGTGATCATGAAGGCGAACATGTACAGGAACATAGTGGGCTCCACGGATATCGACTTGACCACGTGCCACGCCCACTGGCAAACGGTGCGTCCCGCCCCTTCGTCCCGCTGTTCCAAAACATTGCCATCAGCACTGTTTTCGCTAGTCCGACTGTTTCGTCTTTCTGCCGCTGTTTCGGAGAGAGCCTGAAAGAATGCAATGCGTTTGGGATCTTTGTACTCCGAATTTCTTCAAGCTGGCAATGCCACAGGTTTTGAGAGAGAATGCCTGATTCGAATTTCTGAAACAAGTTTTAGACCAATAGGTACACTGCCACGGGTATTTTAGATTTTTCATTTCAATTGCTCAGTTGTGTAAAATAATATAGGCGGTTGGAATTTACTGCGAAGCTTATTATTATATTAGTATTTGTATTCATTTAATTCTTTATTTTTTTTTTTTAATTATTAAAAAAAAAGGATATTTACAAGTCACCATTCCAATTTTTTTTATCACCACATGTTGGCACATTTATTAGCGAGTAAACAACGTGATAAGCAACTTCTCTTGTTACATTTTAGGAATGAATTATTTACGTATTTATTTCCATTCTTGAGAACCAAGAGACACCGAGACTAAAATCAATACCGGCAACTATGCACAACAAACAAAATATTCAAGGTCACTCGGCATGTCTGCCTTGTTTTCTTTTAAGATCCGCTCATTTTGCTCAACGTTTTTTTGTTTGGCATCGTCGCGAAATACGTAATCATTCAGCGAATCGCGCTGGTCGAATTTACGTGATTTATTTAATTGCGATAAATTAGAACTGATTGCTTTATAGTTTTTTTTTTTTAATTTAGCTTGCTCACTTCGTGTTTGTTAAATTTACCGCGACTCAAATAAAAACAAACTATTTAGCGGTAGGAGAATCGAACAAAATACTCACCTCTGCGGCGCTCATTTTTACTCTGCGCACTCAGTCGCTCTCCCGCGTGGATAAATAGTGTTGTTTTGCTTAATTGGAGGGGTTGGTTTCGAAGCTTTTATGCTCTCGCGCGGTTTTTACCGCATAGCTTTCGAAATTCAAAATGTAACGGTCCTGTGCAGCTTATCAATTGATTATTTTGTACAATGTTTGCATAGCGATTCGTTTATTTAATATACGATTGTTATGCAAATTTGCCTAAAGATTACACTTTTAACCTTAAGTGTGGGATATAATGGTTTTTGCAAAATTGCTTTTCTGTATATTTTAAGACAAGATAATTTACCAGAACAAATCCAGCAGTGGCGTTTCCAAGTTAATTAAACAAAAAAAATATTTTTCGTTTCTATTAAGCGGATATGTATATTTTTTTTTTTTTTTTATCAACCTGACTAATTAGCTACACGTGCTTTCAACTATTTTAATTGTGGTATTGCGAATTTTTTCCGGATTTTCCAATCATTCTTATCGAACCGCACGTAACTCTCACTTTCAAGATGAAAGACAGATAACTGACGATAGCGCGTTGTGAAATTTAATTATAGAGCAATTAAGTTTGGATTTACAACACCGCCTGCCATTTGGAGCGATAACTGTAGTCAGCCGTCGATAAATTTGCAATGTTTACAATAGGTAATCTGATTCACTGCGCGCAGTAATCAACATTTTGGCTGTAGAACCTGCTGCCGTTGCCCTTTGTTTGGGAATTGAATTTCAAATCATTACGCTGCACTTGTTTTCCACTAATATTGAGTTACACAGATAATATTTCGAACCGCTCGGATGCGACTTATCCGCTGTATAACTCGCCGGCGACTGAGAGCCCTGAAAACAGTTTTGCCCTATTAAAAAACGGCTTATCAGCCGGAAAGCTGATATTGAGCGGTTTTGATTAAAGTCAAACAGTAATTCTGATTAGTTTCTCTTTATTTATTTGAGTATACAGTGGGATTTTCCTTTTCCATTTATAACTACCCTTTAATTTTCTCTTTTGCAGACATTAAGCCAGTTTTCTAAAAAAAGCGCAAAAATTATGCGGAGGAATGACAAATATTTTATATTTGTATAACAATATATTTTTTAACAAATATTTTTTTTTTTAATTTGTTTGTGTAAAATTGTGTAAAAATAAAATAAATAGATAACTAGATAATTAATGTCTTTATGTTTAAAACATGTGATTTATATTTGAAAAGTTATGGACTTGCAATTAGGGAATTTTGGAACATTTTTACCAAACCCAATTTCTGAAAATTATGAAAGGGGTTGCATCAAAGAAATTTAAAAAAAAATTAGTAAATGATAATTAATTTATTCTTTATTTTAACCTTATTTTAGGTAATGGTTGTGGATAAGAGCAGACGAAAGGCCACCGTGAACTGGTCCCTAAAATCATCCGGGAAATCCACATGGCATCAGCCGAGGCTGCGAACATGGACACAGCGTTGGATTCTAAATTTAAAAATAGTTAATTGACTAGATTCCCATATAATAATTTACAGTAGAAACCTACATATGTAAAATAAAAATGTAAAATACAATTTTTAGACTTTTACATTTTCACTAAAATTTGAAGCATACTTTTGGGGGCATTTGGAAATTTTTTAATAGCTAGTGAAAAATATTGCCACTAAAATTTGAAGCATACTTTTGGGGGCAGTTGCGAAATTTTAAGAGCAGCCACTTTCTATTGCATTCTGTTCGCCTGGTACTTCAAAATATGTTTGGCCCAAAAATTGTGTCTTGTGACCAAGTAAGAAATTCGAAGATTAGCATCCTTCTATAGATTTATGTTCGCCTGGTACTTCCAAATCCCAAAAAAAAAATAAAAAACCTGATATATAAATAATATTATTTATTTATTACATATTTTTGTGCTCATACAATTACCCTATTATTTAATAATTCCTTCTTAAATAATACATTGTGCTTATACAATTACCTTATTATTCTATATATCCTTGAATAACTGAGTTCCTTAAATTAAATTCAGTAGGCATTAATAAAAAACATGGTTTATAAACATATGTACACGTATTGTGTAAGAATTACCAGACATTTATTTCTGAATCAATTTGTCGGTTCCCTTTGTGCGAAAACGGTTAGCAAAACAGAGACGAGGATTGGCTCCCATCTGGTTGTTGCTCGTTGGTTGATGGCTTTCCCGCGGCAGTGGCGCTTTTCCCGCTGGCTTGGAAAATGCTTGGATGACTCTGACTATGCAGGGCTTCCCGCTGGATTGGTGGGTTGGTGGGCTGGTCTGGACTCCGTTTTCCGCTGGCAATGGTAACCGGAGCCGTCGACTAAGTCCGCTGCTTCCCGAGCGGTCGGTAAACTGCAAGACGATCGAGTGCCGCTGCCAGGGCCACCCTAAAGATTGTGGACCCCAACTGCCAAGTTTGCCTTATTTGCATTGCTGTGTGCTGAGCACCACAGTAGTCATTGGTTGGGAGAACCTGGAAATAGAAATAGAATTCAATATATGAATAATTAGTTCTAAAAATCCCTCTGATTTAAATTGGTATAATGTTGTTTCGCTTCTGTTTAAAATTTAAACCACTTTTTTCACAATTTGAACTTATAAGTATATTAACAAATGTTTCCTTTGAAAGCTTTTAAAATGGTTATTTTTATTATTTTGTTATCATACATTTTTAACAATCCTTTTTGGAAGTATAAACTGTATAATCAAATGTTCCCTTTGGAGCTCAATAAATTTTATTTTTAAGCAAACCCTTTTTGTATATATTTGTAACTAAAAATATTGTATTTATAATATATGCAAATCCCAAGTGCATGCCATCCAATACTTACTGTATCTGTCTATCTTATTGTCAGCTTGGCTGTGACAACTTCTCAGCCGCGTTAAGGTGGTTAGTTGGTGCCCAGCTGTGGCACGCTTCGGTTCAGAGAATAGAGCAGAGTCCCCAGCCGTGGGATCCGAGTGAAAAAACAGAGATATAATGTCAGACTCAGATGGCAATGTCAGGCTGATCGATGTGGAGGCGCCAGAGCCACCGGTCGCGGAGCAGCACGAACTGCAAATGGTGCCCGTGGGCACGACCATCGAGGTGCCCAGTTTGGACAGCACTCCCAAACTCTCGAAAAGGAACAGCTCGGAGCGGAGTCTGCCCCTCAGGAGCTACAGCAAGTGGTCGCCCACGGAGCAGGGAGCCACTCTGGTTTGGAGGGATCTCTGCGTTTATACCAATGTGGGGGGATCTGGTCAGCGAATGAAGCGGATCATCAACAACTCCACGGGGGCCATTCAACCGGGCACTCTGATGGCTTTAATGGGCTCGAGGTAAGCGGCTGCAGAAATCGATATGGCCAGAGATCAGGTGCACTCGAGCACGATGACCAAAAATGTGCTAACTGTGTCAAGATGTCTAGTTTGTGACACTTAAAGTAGAGATAAGTAGAGATTCCAAATCGTAAAACTTCATCTCCCCATTCACAGTGGCTCTGGGAAAACAACGCTGATGTCGACGCTCGCCTTTCGACAGCCGGGTAAGTTGTACCGCCGAGTAGTTCCCGATAAGATTATCAGATTAGACTGATCCCCATTATCTCCGGCGCTCCATTTACCTTGGGATCTGCGCTGCAGCCGGCACTGTGGTTCAAGGCGACATTCTGATAAACGGCCGGCGCATCGGACCCTTCATGCACCGCATCAGCGGCTACGTCTACCAGGATGACCTTTTCCTCGGATCGCTCACCGTGCTCGAGCACCTCAACTTTATGGTGAGCTCTTGGTGGGAAAGCACCTAGAATTCTCTCTTTTAATCTGTGGGGGAGGGGGAAACTTTAACGAGCAGCAGTTGCACGGTTGAATTATCTTTTAAAATGCTTAAGACGGAAATTTAAGCTGTCTGCAAGCATATCTAAAAAAAAAAGAAATCCACACCTAGGAACTTAAAGAGAATAATTTTCTTTAAATGTGGAAAATTGAAAGTTAAACTACAAAGTTTATAAACTCTGAACCAAACCAACTTTAAAAGGGTTGATGCATTAAGGTTAAATGTTAAGGAATTACGTTTTGGACAGCTTAAAGCTAATTTAATATATGGTATATTAAAAGGTGAATACTGAAAGTGCCCTTGATTGATGATTGATTGAGCTCCGATTAAAAAATAATACATTATTAAAACAAAATTTGATTTAATTATTTTAAATATTTTGTTCGTTTTAAAATGATTAAGAAGTAGCACAGATTTTTACTTTTAAAAAGTATTTAACTACTCTGAAACCTGAGAGGCGAAAGTATTTACTATTTATCGAACCGATTTATTTATAATATGTTATGTTTTTCTTACCTTTTTCAGGCCCATCTTCGCCTGGATCGTCGTGTTTCCAAGGAGGAGCGTCGCCTGATCATCAACGATCTGCTGGAGCGGACAGGACTCCTTTCGGCGGCTCAAACGCGGATTGGCAGCGGCGACGACAAGAAGGTTCTTTCGGGGGGAGAACGCAAGCGATTGGCCTTCGCCGTGGAGCTGCTCAACAATCCGGTGATCCTGTTCTGCGATGAACCCACCACGGGACTGGACTCCTTCAGTGCCCAGCAGCTGGTGGCCACGTTGTATGAGTTGGCCCAAAAAGGAACCACTATTTTGTGCACCATCCACCAGCCGAGTTCGCAGCTCTTCGACAATTTCAACAATGTAATGTTGCTGGCCGATGGAAGAGTTGCCTTCACGGGATCTCCACAGCATGCTCTTAGCTTCTTTGCCAATCACGGATACTTCTGCCCGGAGGCCTACAATCCGGCGGATTTCCTTATAGGAGTCCTAGCCACAGATCCTGGTTATGAACAGGCCTCCCAGAGATCGGCGCAACATCTGTGTGATCAGTTTGCTGTGAGTTCGGCGGCCAAACAGCGGGATATGCTGGTTAATTTAGAGATCCACATGGCCCAGTCGGGCAACTTCCCCTTCGACACGGAGGTGGAATCCTTTAGAGGTGTGGTCTGGTACAAGAGGTTCTACGTGGTTTGGTTGAGGGCATCGCTTACCCTTCTGAGGGATCCCACAATCCAGTGGATGCGGTTCATCCAGAAGATCGCCATGGCATTCATCATTGGAGCCTGTTTCGCCGGGACGACGGAACCTTCGCAACTTGGAGTGCAGGCGGTGCAGGGAGCCCTGTTCATCATGATCTCGGAGAACACCTACCATCCCATGTACTCCGTGCTCAACCTTTTTCCACAGGGATTTCCCCTCTTCATGCGGGAAACACGATCCGGATTGTACTCCACTTGGCAATATTATGCAGCGAATATTCTGGCTTTGGTAAGTATTAAATTGTTTTATAAACATTTTAATTATAAGATAATCCTATATAAGTAAGAAGTTTTATATTCTTTTTACAAGATATGTTTACGATAAGAAATAATTTTTTTGTACAATAATTTATTTGCTTATCCTGGATAAACTAGTTTTTATATTTTATAAAAAATTTATTATAAATTTTTACCATAGGTTAAAACTTTGTTGATTTTATTGTTTTCAAAATATTACACGTAGAGTTTTACTCTTATTTATTTAAACATTAAATCTATTTTAAGTTACCAGAATATGGCTGCGAATAATCTGCATTGCAAACAGCTAATTACTCGACCTTAAATTTTGTGACATAATTTGGCGCCATTCCTAAATTTGTTTTACTTTTTTTAACTCACGTTTATTTTATTATTCATCTTTTAACAGCTTCCTGGAATGATAATAGAGCCCCTGATATTCGTCATAATCTGCTATTGGCTGACGGGTCTGAGGTCCACGTTCTACGCCTTCGGAGTGACTGCCATGTGCGTGGTGCTGGTGATGAATGTGGCCACCGCCTGCGGTTGCTTCTTTTCCACAGCCTTCAATTCGGTTCCACTGGCCATGGCTTACTTGGTTCCACTGGATTATATATTCATGATCACCTCGGGTATTTTTATACAAGTGAAGTGAGTTATACTTAAGCTACCTTAATATAATTATTTCATTAAAGGGTTTTTCATTTAAAGCTCCTTACCAGTGGCATTTTGGTGGACGCAGTTCCTTTCTTGGATGCTGTATGCCAATGAGGCAATGACCATTGCTCAGTGGTCAGGAGTGCAGAATATAAGTGAGTGGGAAATAAATGATGTATAAAGTATATAAATATATTTATTTCTATATTTTATTAGCCTGCTTCCAGGAGAGTGCCGACTTGCCCTGTTTCCACACGGGTCAGGATGTCCTGGACAAATACAGCTTCAACGAGAGCAACGTCTACAGGAATTTACTGGCCATGGTCGGTCTCTATTTTGGCTTCCATTTATTGGGTTACTACTGTCTTTGGCGACGGGCAAGAAAGCTGTGAGAGCTCTCGATTCCGAGGGCTGTAAATATAATTACCACCAAGCTACGAATTCATCCAATAAATAATTACTAGACCATTCAAATTTATAGCGCCATTTATTAACACATTTGTTTTATTACTTTTCTGGTTGACTGCACAACGAAACATTTACATTGAGTGGGTTTATCTTTGTCCTTATCAACTGGAAACTGAACACCAAAGCTAATCAACATCGAGTTCAATACATATAGTATGCTTACATATAAACTGTATAGGATACTTCACATTCGATTAAATTAGAGTTCGTAGGCATATTCAAAGTGGCCGAGAGGCGTTCGTAAAATTGCGAGTTAAAACTAAGTAACAAAAGGTTATAAAATAATTTATGCATCTTTTCATCTTCTTCATAGAAATCACAGCGAGAATTTTGTTTGTTTTTCTTTGGTTTTTTCGTTTCGTGTTTGCATAACATATGTTGCACCTATTTTAATATTTTATTTATATTTAGTGTTGATGCTTTCAGCAACATTGAGACATACAGACATTGAAACACATTTAACGTTACATATAAACGATACTGTTTTAACACTCAACGTTACTCGTATTTGATACCCATTTTTCATTTAAACTTATTTGCTAGTAAATATCGTTAGTGCAACAACTTAAAATAGTTTTCTTGTTGCTCTTCAATTGACAGATTTTGGTTTTAGTTAGGAAAGAGAACCAGCTTTGGACAGTCAGGAAAGGATAAATATCCTATTTATTTTTCCATTAAGAAAGTCCATAAGCTGGTATGAAAAATTTAGTTAGAGGAATGCAATCGATATCTTTGGTAACGACTTTTCTTTGGGAAAAGGTAATATTAACTGCTAAAAATATAATCTAAATAATGGTAACTCACTATATGTATAACATAAATACAATTTATATGGCTCTTGATAACTTAAAAATCGTTTTAAGAACTTAGTTGTTCAACTGCATTCCCTAACAATTTGTAAATACTTGCTAGTTTTTCAGATGATGAACATTAAATTCGATTTCTTTGCACACTTATTCCGTTTAAATTTACACTCTACTGCAAACACACACATAGGAACCTTACACACCTACACTCCTTTCGCAGGACATTCTTCCAACTCAACTTACAACCTATCGAATGCCTAAATGATCTAATATGATTTATTTTGGTACCCAGTTGAAGTGCAAGACGTTGCTTTCGTACTTTAGTTTTGAGTGTGATATGGAAATTACTTTGTTTTCGGTGCCCTGAAACGCCAACTGAGGAACATGTAAAGCTACAGTAAATGCGAGATCTCATGGATGTTGGGAAAAGCTATGGGTACCGTCGAACTTCTGCAGCAGGACATTTCTTAAAAGGAATATTTATAAAGTATAAAATTATGTTGATAAAAAAACGGAGGTTTTTATTTTAATAAATTTCACAGAATTATTTTAATTAAAAATGTTGTAACCTTTCATATATTTTGCTTTTTTATAAGTCAAATTAATTAATATTTCTAAATTGTTCGAGTATAAAAAAGACCTTTTTCTTTAAACATTTTCAACTGCAAGTATTTAAGCATATTTTAAAATTCGTATTAATGGTTAAATTTTGGTATTTACCTTTTAAAGAATCATTTTTATTTTGTTATTGTTTTTAAGGGTTTCTCTGTAGTCTCAATAAATTGTATCTCCAACCAAAGAAGTTCGACTTTAATGAATGTTGGCAAGCCCAATCAATCTGCTATTCTATATTATTTCCTTGTATCCCTAACCACTTACCAATTACCACTTACCCTTACCATTACCATTACAATAACCTTTAACCTTGCCTTTAGTGCTACGTATTGTACATATTTACACGGCTGCCTAGGCATCCCTTACGTGCTGACATCCTGCAGGAGTCCTGCCCGCGGGCTGCTCCCCCTCCCCCCCGATCCCAGACCGGGAACAGATCCATTGGAGCTGCTGATGAGCACCATGCTCCGGCTGTTGGGCAGAACGAACACCTCCGTGGTCAGCTGGCCAATGGGACTCATCGACTGCGAGGTCTTGATGGGACTGCGATTGGGTTCCAGCGAAGCTGTCCGGGGTTGCCAGTCCTGCGAGGAGGTCTCTGTGGAGGATTGCCCGGCCACGGAGCCACCGCCACTCTCCAGGGTTCCCGGCGCCGTCTGCGTGGAACTCTGGCTCTCATTGGAGAGCAATCGAGTGGTGGTCGCTGTGGTGAAACTGGCTGCAATGGTGGTCACCGAACGGCGTTTTTTTGGCTGCGCCGAGGAGTTCGAGGAGCCGGAGGAGGAGGAGTACGGGGTGGCCGTGGTGGTCACCGTCTCCGTCACATTGAAGCTCACGATGGTGTCTCTTTTCCGGAGAGTTGTAGTGGTGGAACTACCGCCTTCACCTCGCAGATTCTGCTGCTGTTTGTTGCTCAAATCGGAGAGACTTATGTTGTTCTTCAGCAGGATCTCCAGATTCTCAATGGAGTCCTTCAGTCCGCTCTTCTCATCCCTGGCTATCTCATCTTTCAGATCCGCCACCAGAGTTCTTGGCGGAGCAGTGGGCGTGGCCAGGGATTTGCTGCCTCCCCCGCACTCCGAGCAACTATCCGTGGGATTCGGATTGGGATTGCCACTTCGCAGGATGGCGGGCAATGCGCCAATGGTGACCACACTGGAGCTGTTGGAAATGCTGGGCGTGATGCCCGTGGAGCTGCTCACCGTGGTTCCGAAGGAGGAGGATATGTTGTGCTGCCGGCAGAGGGACTTCCTCCGCTGCGCCGTCAGATTCTGCATATTGGAGTTCATATCGATGTCAGGGGAGGGCAAAAGGTCATCATCCTCCTGCTCGAGGTGAACCTCCTTCGCCTGATCCTTCTGCTTCTCCGTTTCACCAGTTAACTTCTCCGGTTCCTTGGTTAAAGGTAAAGTCTTGGGAGGTTCGATCTCAATCTTGGCCAGATCCTCCTTTGCTTCAATGGGTTTTTTACCCTTCAGGAAGTAGGTGATCATGGAACCCTTTCCCTTCACATCCACACTTCCTCTACAGGTGAGCTCAAAGCCACGCCCCTCGAGAATCTGCTGCATCTCCTGTGTCACCTGTACAGGTGGCAAAAAAAAGAAGGAAGGGTGTAGGGAAAAAGGGAAAGCGATAACATAAATTCCGGCTGACAAGTTCAATGGCTGACTGAATGCACAAAAAGCTGGCTCTGCTCTTATTTATTCAGCCGCTCATCCGTGGCTACATATTTCATGATAACACCTAGTACTCCGGTCCATCGGTCCATACCTAAGTCCCTGTATACCCCAATCCCCTCGAGCAAAAGCCTGCTTAATAATTTATTTCCTTCGGAATTCTTTTTTTCCGACCTCGCTTCGTTTTATTGACAGCATCGAAGCACGGCAAATAAAATCAAATGCGCATTTTTATCGGTATCTGTACTCGCACGCATCATCCTATTAGGGTGGCTCATGTTTTTCTTTTAAATAAAGTATAGTATTATAATGCTAAAAAATAATAATTAATTTATTACGAATCATTAATGGCTAAGGATTTTTATAATAAATTTCGGATAAACATTCAAACCTAATTTATTTGAATAAAAGTATTCAATAAATTGTTGGTTCACCTTACTGTATAAAATGTTAACCCATCGTTACAGAAAAAAAACAATAAAACTCAACTTTCTGCTTTATAAATTATGAATCCTTCTGACAAGTGAGTCCACTCTAAAACCTTAAGTATCTTTATTCCGTTTTGTGTACCTACATATGTTTGTTCCTTTTTTTTTTTGTCTGTCTGGGTCGAGAAAACTTTCGTTGACACTAAAAACTTTCGCAGTAATGTGGTCAGCCCAGGTGGCCATTGATTAGGTGGGCGTGGCTGCGAAACTCCGCCTCTATTCAGTCACCTCTAACCATAAACTTTCGCAACATAAGTTTCTTGTTTTTCGCAACAAGCGAACATTTGTTGGAAAAAGTGGGTGGCATTAAACCCAACTGAGTGGCAGCAATTTGCGGATGATTTAATCAAGACTCACCTGGATGTGATCCACGAGACCTGTGGAGTCCATTCGCGATGCCACGTTGACGGCATTGCCCCAGATGTCATATTGCGGCTTGCAGGCTCCAATCACGCCAGCCACCACAGGACCAATGTTTATACCTGAAAATATAAATACAGACAATAAAACAAAGTTAAGCTTGGAAAGAGAAATTTTGCACTAAGAAAATAAGCTCTTAACTAGGCAATGAGTGAGTGATAATATGTTCAAAATGAACCCTAAATCATTTATCATTTATGATCTAGTTTTAGATCAACAAACTTGTTTAAATATTAAAATGTACACAAGTAATATTAGATACATTTTTATCAAAGAAAAACCACGTAAAATTAACTGTCTTTTAATAAAATAAAAAATGTTTTACACAAAGCAATTATAAAAGTGGCTATATCACTGAATTTACAACCTAAAATAATTAAATTTCAATTAAAAAAACAAATTTAACTATCTATGAATATAGGGTAAAGTTAGTTCCCAATTTAGCTCTTCTCAAAATAATTTCTTTCTCTAGTATTTCTCTCTCTGCAACTGGAGAAGCAAAAGGACTGGAGGACAAAGTTTGAGTGGCTCACCTATCCGCATCCGAAAGTTGTTGAAGGAGTGCATGTTGACCTCCTCGATCTTGTCGAACAGCTGGAGGGCGTACTCCGCCATGGCGGTCACGTGGGTGAAGTTCACCCGGTCGCAGGTGTTCGCCGTCAACCCGGAAGCCGCCATGTAAGTGGCGCCCGTGCTCTTGATTTTCTCAATGCAGCTGATGGAAATGGAAAGCGCAAAGATGGTGGCCGGAAATGGACCAGCCCGCAAAGTGGTTAGAACCCCGTTTAGCTGGAAAAGTAAGGTGGAGCAGATGGAGGACTCACCGGAAGCGCTCCTCGCTGAGCAGCTCGTCGAAGTCGGCGATAATCTCGTTCAGCAGACGCAGGCACTCCACGCCCTCGTTGTTGCCCTCCAGTTCCACGTAGAACTCGGAGAAGTTCGGAATGCTGGCGAACAGGATGCACACCGAGTCGCACTGCTCGTGGTACAAATCCTGTAACAATTCCAATCGAAAAATCAATTATATTCCTCCTGCAGAGTTGCTTGCATATGTTTAAAGGTGAGTGCTCTGAAGGGGACACTTTCGTATGGAATTCAAGATGTGAAAACCCTAAGAGGACCTTATACTATTATATCACTTTAATCTTGCTCTTAGGAACATTGTAATAAATTGTAAACCCCATTTCGATTAATGTAAAAAACTCTATGAGCATTTAAAAAAATTATGTCACTTAAACTTTGTTCATAGAAACTTGTTGAAATATTTCTTAAATTTATTTTATTGTATTGCTTAACTTCTGATAAACATATTTGACTGCTTTACAATTTTAGAAAGTTTTTCTTGTATAATTATGGCTAAGCTTAAATGGGACATTAACTTTGAAATTAGTATAATTTTTCTAGAAATACATAATATTTATCACATAACTTTATTGGCTTTTGTTTTTTTTATGATGACTTAGATAATTTCATTTTATTTAAGCTAATACTAATACCTGCTTTATAACGTTACACTTTGAATAAGTGTCATTTTATAAAATGACTTTACTTTAAATATTTGATCTTCAAATACTTTTGAGTAATCAATCATTCAGTGGAATCACTACTGGATGTAGCCAATAAAATAGAATGAAATTGGCTAATCCAACATTTGCTCAGTGTGCTTCTGTTGGCCGGGCTTAAGTTGAGCTCATTGGCTTTTGTCCCGCTGCCAAAGTGGCTGCTCGTTGGCCATCAAATGCGGCTGCTAAGCTTGTTGAATTTGCATTTAATGTGGGCGGCTGCCACGGCTGCTTCCCCGCCTCCAAACTACATATATAGTATAAACCCCCGACTTTCCACCTTGCCGCAAGTGCAGTGAAATGTTTTCAGGCCGCATACACGTGGTCACATCACAGATTTTCCCTTCCCTTTTCCACTTTACAATGTAGGTGGGTCCTTTTCCCAATCTGAATCCTTCGCCACCAACTAAATGCCCGTCCCTTTTCCTCTGGCTCCTCTGCATTTGGAGCAGATTTCACAGCCACAAAGTTTTTTAATATGTTGAGCAGTTTGCCTGCGTGCATCGTGATTCATGGATTTATGGCCACTATATGGCCGAAAATGGTACACACAGTGGTTGCCTGGTTAACTTTAGTGCAAATTTACTATTTTTGAAAGATTGTTAAGAAAATCAGAGCTTTGGCATTTAATGTGAGTTAAATTGTTGAGATTTTAAGAGAAGAAAAAATTAACTAATTACAAACCATTTTAATTTTAATATTTTATTATAATAATAATTTTGGCAATCGTTAAATCTTCAATGTAACATCCCTTAAACTACGTACTTTGATGATCTAATATTATAATCCAATATCAATAAAGTTTAAAACCTATTGCTTGTCACACTTTATTTCCCTATTTTGACCACCTCTGTATTAAATGGTATTTGGTTGTGCACTTGTAGTTTGAATTATTATTTTGTACTCACGTCAAGGTGCTTTTCGCGGCTCAGAAAATGCTCGGCAACGTGAACGGGCAAAATGTTTTCGAGCAGTTTACGATTATAAGCCTGCAGGTGCTCCATATCCTCCTTTTCCTCTGCAAAAAATCACAAAAAAAATACAAAAACGAAACAAACATCAGCGGAAGCCCAAAAAGAGGGTAAAAAAAAAACGCAAGCGTGAAATTGAAATATCAGTTTATCAGTTTACCGAAGCGGAAAGTAAAAGCGCCGAAACAGAAAGCACAAAACTCAAAACACATTGCCATTACCCGAAAAAAGGAAAATCTGGGGAAAATGTTCGAGTGTGTTTGTGCGAGAGTGGTAGTGCAATTGTGCACTAATACTAATGAAGTGGCTTATATGCTGCGAGTTTTCCCAATCCCTCAGTCGCTTTTCCTTGGAGGGAATCATCCTAAGCCACTGACAGTGTGTCAAACGGAAAATGCGACGTCATCAGCAGAGGAAAATTACTCAAACTTTCCAACTCTCGAATTTTAATCAGCACAATAATTTGAGAGGTTTCTATTAGATAAAAGAGTAGTTTTCCAAATATATTTGCAAATGTGGGAAAGTGCTTTAAACTGTGCGTATACTTGATATTTGAAGATATAACGAAATAAAGGTTTCCCTTTTATAATTACGTTACGTTACGTTAAGTTCAAGTTATGATGTTACGTTTGTAAAAATTACGTATAATTATTTTAACAGTTGCTAGAAATTGTATTGAATTTACAAACTTTTTACCATAACCAATATAAATTAGCATATAACCTAGTTGAAAACTATTCTCGCAACTATTTTAGCATTCACTTTGACCGTTTAAACTTTTTACAAGTTAGAACTTTCACTCGGCTGCCATTCACTTTGTGCGCTTCGCTTAATTTCCACACTTTTCACTTTCCCGTTTTCCACTTGCCACTCCGGCCGTAATTAAAGTTGACTCACCCGTGGCTTGGAGCTTCCAAATGAAGTCCAGGCGGTAAGTGGCCTCCGTTTGGTGGCTGTGGAAGATCAGGGCCAGCATAAATGCAAAAAGGAAGATGGAATCAATTATGTAGCGCAGCAGGGCCTCCTCATTCCTATTCCATTTGCCATTTTCCCAGGTTGTTTTCGTTGTTGTCCAGGTGAGAAAAGGTGCAATCGTCCGGTGGAATGGCGACAATGACGAAGTTATTCCGGTCCATTAAAGTGTAATACGGAAATGGAAGAAGAATTGTTACTGCGTCGGGTTGATAAATGGAATCCAACTGGATTCTGGTTTCTGTATTCTGGATTCAGGGCGGGTGCTAAATACAATTTTAATGCAGTTTGCGGCTGCCGTAAATGCAATTCAGCTGCTGCCAAGTCAGCAAAGCCCGAGTGGGTGACCCCCTTAACACCCTTAACCCTTAACCCCCGCCTCGTTTCCCCTTTAACCCACTGAAGCGAACTGGAATTGCATTACGCCATAATTCGTTTTCATTCAGAGATAGCGCAGCTGCCTCGCTGAATGCGGAATGCGGCATGTTGCTGTTGCATTCTATATGTTGCAACTTGTACTTACGCCAACTCCTGGCTGATTTCCCTGCTGCGCGAGTACAGGAAGGAGGAGCAGGCCATGTAGCTGCCGGAGGCCAGCAGCAGGAGCAGCAGCTTGAGCAGGATCCGCAGGACCTGGTAGGTGGCACAGCTCATCATCGAGAGCAGCGTCAGTAGCAGGAACGTCTGCGGGGACAGGAAAAGCGAGTCAGGGAATTATATATTCGAGGTCGGCCCACTCAGAGAACAATTGCGGTTTTCATTTGCCAAGAAAGCTGCATGTGCGGTTAAGTGTTGACAGCTAGACATAATTTTAAAATCCTTATGGCTTGCAAGACGTAATATAATGTCTAGCATTTTGACTTTATGTAATGTAATGTAAATAATCTAATAATGTCATGTAAATATTTACATTTGAAATCATGTACGAGTGCAAGTTACAATTACATTTTACCGAAATTCTTCTTATTGAATTGAAGATAATAGTGCTTCTAAAATTCTAAAAACATTTCATAAAAACAATGTTTATTTAAAAAAAAAATTTAAGTAACTTAGACTTCTTCAGTTTAATTAATTTATGCGCACATAGTTTTTTTTATCATATTTATTAAATATTTGACAGTGCTTAAATTTTTTCAATATTTTACTGTTTAAACATTTTAGTTTGTAAATGTATATAAAATCCTTAAGTGTAAATTTCAAAATATTGTTTATATATCTTAAATTTATTTCTAATGGTAGCTACCACTTGATTAAATTATATATTCCTCATGAAGGTGTAATAATGAGTTTTCCTAACCGAAAAAAACCTTTTTTTGCCATGTCGGTTTAAGTGATTAACTCCTATTCGTCTGCACACTCACTCACATTGTAGGCCAGGTAGAAATCACAGCGGGGTTCCTCGCGGGCAAACATCTCGGCGTCGAGCTGCTCGGCATTCAGACTTGCATTTCCGCTGACGTCCAGCCAGAAGCGCTTCCTCTGGAGCAACTCCAGTTGGCGGGCCGACTCCTGGAACTATGGAGAGCATGACTAATTAGCTGTCCGGCCATGAAACTCACATTAGACAGGCCTAACGATCTGCGGGCGGACTTTAACGACCCTCGAAAAGGCGCCCATCCCCATTCGAGATTGTCCATTAAGCGCGGCCCAAAATGAATACGAATGCCTCTTAAAGTGCCATTAAATGCGGCCCGCAACAAGCACAAAAGTGACAACGAAATGTCAAGGAACTGGAACTCGGGGACCCTTCGAGACTTGCCACAGACAAAAGCCATGGGCAATGGAAAATGTGCCACGGGGCAGGTAACAAGTTGCCCATAAAGCCGCCTCTCACTTCATCACACGAGCTTGATCCTCGGGGCCAAAGGACTCTTCTCCTTCTCCCCTCTTTGCCACTGCCACTGCTCTTGGCCAATGTCGAACTTTAATGGAAAAACTTTTGTTTTGACGCGCCCCAAACAACAAAACACAGCACAACACAACACATCGTAGAACGCAACAAGCGCGCCCCCGATTTTGTTTGGACTACAAAACGTAAATTTTATTTTTATTCCTCTTAAGAGAGGCTGGCTCAACCCCTGGAATTTCTAGACGGAAACTTTTGCCCCACGAGCTCACACAAATGCACAGCAAATGAGGACTAAAAAACAAGTTGGAATAACTTGACTTGGTCGAGTTTGGGATGCCCTAAAACGGAGGTAAAATGGCCTCCAGGCAGTTGGGATTCATTTTTATTTCGGTACATAAACTCTGTGGATGGAAATCATCTCGAGTCTCTTTTCTATGATAGCGAAATTTTCGCATTTGTTGCGCATACGCAGCGTGTGTCGCATTTAAGTCAACGGGAAATCAAGTGTGTGCGGGAGCGGAAAGAACTTTTTTGGCAGAAGTAGACAACGAAAATGTTTTTGACAAATATTCCTGCAGTTGATAACGTTTATTGAAGCGGGAGGACGAATGGTGATTTATATTCATAACGTTTTGTATTTATAAAGGTAAATATTTATGGTAAAACAAGCAATAAAATTGAAGGAATTGCAACAATTTATAAACCTCTAAGGCAATTGAATATGTAAATTTATTTTACATAATGAACTGTAAAATAAAAGCTATAAAGTAAAATTATTAAAACCAAAATAAATAGAATTTTAAAATACAACACTTATTGTTAATTAAAATCAAACTTCAATTTTTGATTGGATTTATTAAAATTAAAGGAAAACCCAGTTCTTAGAAACATGGAAACATGGAATATAAAAAGTTTGCCATTCGACTACGAAATATTCCACAAACCCTTTGAAATATTTTAATGAATAATAATTAATTCCTCCTTTTTCCGTTAAAGCCACTTTAAATTCCCTCAAATATTTATGGCATATTATAGGCCCGTCAATTAATAACAGACAGCGATTAACCCGGCGATTAATTTATAAGCACTCACCATGGCCAACAAAGTGGTAAGGACAATCAGGGCGACGCTGGCGAAGGCGAAAAACTGCGATATCCTGCGATTGCTATGAATGCGCAATGAGAAGCGTTTGATGTCCGATGGCAGCTAAAAAGTTTGGCATTCCGCCGGATGAAAAATGCACAATGACAACAACAACAATTCCCTCCATTCCACTCCACTCCACTCGACTCTTTGTGTGCTTACCTGAAAGTTGATTTTATGACATGCCACCAGAAATACCAGCAGTCCGAGCAGAAACAGAGCGCCAGTGGACAAGGCCAAAGTCAGTGGGGAGCTGGAAAATGGAGGAGCAGAGAGCAGAGAGCGGTTTTGTTTTTGGCTGCCAATTTAAATGGGTAGCAACTTTTTGGGCAACACGTATACGCAGTGGTGCCTGCAAAAGAGTTTCGTGGGGAATCGCCTCGCTTGGACGCCCCCCGAAAAACATCATCAGCTGGAATGGCTAACCCGTTTCCTGTTTTAGAGTCACATTTCCCCCGAATCCCCAATCCCGAATCCCCGCGAACTCACCTCTGGAAGACCACCAGCCGCATTATGCTGGTGCCGAGCAAAACCAACAGACTGCAGTAGAAGTACACACACAACATGCGATCCGGTTCGCTGGCGTACTGCAAAACAGCAAAATCGGAAAAGAGCAAAAGAGCAAAATAGAGTGGTAAAAGCCCGACTTAGATATACATTATGTAGGTTTGTTTACTGCAGAGGGGGAACAATGGCCCAGAAATAAGTATTCGCCGCTGGTTTTAGCTTCTGACATCGTGAAACATAAGCCAGCGAATGTAAATAACCTTTTATGTTTAGCTGCAGGAGCTTATTTTTAGGACGTACTCTCAACTCCTCTTTTCGGGTTAAATATTATATAAATAGCTTTAGACGAATGCTGTATTTTAATTTAACTGAGTTGTTGAAGCTAAAGAGTATTAAGGATAAATGTCTAAAAAGTTGGACAAATAATGTAAGGCAGAATAATCAAATTTTTTGAAACAACCCCTTTCAAAATTTGCAAAAAAAAAAAGGGTTTGCCGAAAATGGATCAAAGTTCACTAAAACTTAGCCCATAACTTTTCTAATTTTGAAGTGGCAAACCTCTAAATGTTTTGTATTTCAATTCTCTAACTATATGCATCATTAGTTAATTTTTTTATTTTTGACAGATTTTTTTTGTCAATTTTGATGATCAATTAACCAAATCTTAAGGCCATTAAATTTCTTATTTTAATCATTTTATTTTTGTTTCCCCTTGCTGTGTAAGATATTTATTGCTGGTTATTGTAATAATTTTTTCAAGTTTTCATTAAGTGTTTACCTTTCTCTCCAGCCCATTATCCTTGAAGCAGAGCAGCAAGGACTGACAGTGCTCGGCCCTCAGATGATCAATGCTGCGGGCATCGATCGCTCGCATTAGATACTCGTTCACCTCGTCCTCGGGATCCTTCGTACTTTCTGAACTGTCACCAAATCCGAATCTACAAATAAAATAAAGGAATATTTTTGTACATAAGCTGTTTACCAAGAATACAGATTAAGCAACGGAAACCTTACTTGGAAGTGTGTTTCTGTGCGGTTCCATGACCCATCATACGCAGCTCCTTGGAAATATTCCCATTCACCTGCAGACGATTCCTGGACTTCTTGTGCTGAAATCAAGTAATCCATCACTCATAATATCTGCTAATCTAATTAAAGTAGCTTAACTCACAGGTCTGTATATATCCCCCGGCACTATAAGATACGTTTCAATCTGATGATCCTTGAGATACGAATTGCGTTCGTTTCCCTTGCCAACTTCCACTTCGTAATCGCCATCCAAACACTTTAGAGTCTCCTTGGTGATGTGAACGCGACTGAAAAATAAAAAAAAAGAACAGAGAACACATTCCAATGATTATCTTTATCAGCTTATGGTTTCCGTTTTTTTTCTTATTTTTTATGTGGTGGCATTAAGCGGAAAATTCAGTTAACCACAGGAAACACTCACATTACCCGCCACACAAACCCATTTTCCATCCCCTTCCGCTGCATTTCTATTTTTCCCAAGTCAGCTAAATAGTTTTTAATGCTGTTCTCGGAGTGAAAACCCGCAACAGATGCTCCTGGCTTGCCGACATCCTTCGGCTGCCAAGTAACTGCCTGCTGTTGATACTATTGATAATTACACGACGCTTTGTTATGGATTGCTGCAGACTGCAGTTCACATTCCCCGCAGGCAAACTTCTCCTCAGGCGGCTAACGAACTTTTTACATGCCACGCTCGCTCAACTCTCGGCAGAAATTGCAGCTTATCAGGCATCCAGCCAAGGCGATGGCTATAACCTTAGCTATGTTGGCCAAAAGCACCACCCAGTGCAGCTATTTGCTTTTAATTTCACCCGGGACAGGACTAACAAACGAGCTGCCGTCGTTCGGCTGACCCAAATAAACTCAACAGTTACTTAAACTTCCACCCAAAGTCGCAGCGTGAATATTCGCAAAAAAAAAAGGAAAACAACACAGAAGGAAAGCGGAGGAGGAAAATGCTCGTAACCGGGAAAATAATAGAGGACTACTTCGACCCTTTGTTATCTATTATTTTGGGACACTTTAACTGGTGCTTACAACTAGTTGAAGTGGGCAAAGGAGTGTACTAAAATAGACAAAACAAACTGAAACATGCAAAGTTGTTCCGCTGAGTTTGTAAGTCAATAATATGCCCTTTCATTTTTACTACTAGAAAACTCTATTAAACTTTACTTTATTAAAAATTTATTACAAAAAAAATTAATTTAGTCTTACATATCATAGATTTTACCTACTAAAAAGATGAAAGACATGTTGAAAACTAGGAATTTTTTAAATTAAATAAAAGTTTCTTTTAAACAGTTTACGTGACTGATAAAAAGTAACCCAACGTAACGTAAGATACGTAACCACATTTTAAAATATACCTACATATTTATTTTAGTTTTAAAAGGCTTATTAATAACTGAACCTTGAATTGAGCTATTTTATAGAACTAACTTTTTATTTAACTATTTCTTTTCTAAACCAGTCTAATATACCCTAGCTAACCTGAACTTCAGATATCCAGGGTATGTGAGCAGTAACAAATTGCTCAAGTGTTGAAGTGCAGCTGAATCAACAGCAACAAAATATTGTTGCGGGGCACTTATCAGTGGTGGGCGGACTGGGGCAGCGGTGGGCGTGGCATGCAAATTGTGGGCCATAATCGATTGGGTGGGCTATTCGCAAAGTGGGGGTAAAAGGGGTTTTCCAAAGGGGAAAACTCGGGGTGAGCACTCGTAAGTTACCAATAACTTGACGCCTTTGGCTGGCCACAAGACGCATGCAAAATGCTGTGTGTGTACGGCAATTACAACGATTAAGACCACAATGGAGAGGCACACCCTCGAGCCTCGAAGGACGCAGGTCGCAGGATAATGGATAGAGCATGAAGGAGGAAGGACGAAGGACGAACCGCAAAGCAGCGACACTTTTGGACTTTCAAGTGCCTTTATGGTAGGTGCTTCAAACAATACAACTTCCGGCCGACCACAGCAAGTTGGCTTTAATTGTTTGGCCCACCGCTTTTATTGGCCAGCATTTCGAGGGAGTGGAACATAAACCGATAAACATTTCCTCCTTTCACAAACCATTATTCACAGCTGTCGCCAGAAGTGGCTCAAACTGACCGAAGCGGGATTTTCACTGGATTGAATTGGATTTGCTGGCGAAATGGAATTGAATTTCCTACTGGCGACTGGCAGCACAATGAATTGAATTGAATCGAAGCGGATTTACCAGACCCAGCCCACAAAATGGCCAAGACAATGGCCACTTTCAAGTGTCAACCGATGACAGCCGAAGACGCCGGATCAATTAATTTCAGCCGGGAGATTAGAGGATGATTGGTAGGAGTAGTAGTAGTAGTACACTCACCCTGGGATTCCACCGCTTTCCATGTGGTTGGCCAGAGTGACGTCATTGGACCAAACGTCGAACTGCCACTTGACCAGGCCCAAAACGCCGCAGTGCACTCGGCCAGTATGGATGCCAACTCGCATGTTCACATTCACGGCCATCACCTCGCGGACAAGACTGCAAAACAAAAGCAGAGGAGCAGCAAACAAAGGATAAAGATTGGATCACTTAAAAAAATAAATGTTTTTTTTCCAAATTGAAAAATATACATATTATCCATTTTAAAGATTTATAAAACCCATTTATAAAGATAGCATTGCGTTACTTAACAATTAGGAAATTGATTTATAATTTGCCTGATCAACAAAGAAATAAAACAAACTGCAGTACCAATTTACTGCTAATTTTTAATTAATTTTGAAGCACAACAAAAAAAAGCTATCTAAAATTATAATAAATGCAACCAAGAAAGCTATATTATTTTGCAAATTGATAAATTTAAGTATAACCATAAATACTTTTTTAACAATAATTTAATCTTTAACTTATGATATATCATATCCATTATACTTTCTGTAAATTTCATTTCATTTAAACACCATTTTAAATAAATAAATAAATTTAAAATGTGTATTTATTTTATATATATCTTTAACTTATGATATATTATATCCATTATAATTTCTGTAAATTTCATTTCATATAAATACCATTTTAAAGATATGTTTTCCCCCGTGTACCACCCATAACAAAAGCCGCAAAACAGCAGTTTGCCTTTGTGTTTCTGTGTTCCTATGTTTCTGTGTTCCTGCTTGCAGATACGGATGCGGATACAACAGATACAGATACTCACGCGATGGCGTCAATCATATCGAGTCCCATTTCGACGGCACAATGGGCGTGATCCGGACGGGGTTCTGGCAGCCCGGAGACGCAGTAGTAGCAATCGCCCAGCAGCTTAATGCGCAGACAATGATGCTCCGCAGCCAATCGATCAAAGCTGCAATGGATTTGGAGATGGAAGTGCAAAAGTGGAAACAAAGAAGTTGAAAATGCTACTAGAAAATCGCAAAAAAAAGCAGAAGCTCCTGACTACAATAAGCGTAAGCTATCATTTCTCATCTAACTTTATTGGAAGGAAAGTAAGCTCTGAACAAAAGGAGGAAAAGGGTTCGAAAAAAGTATTACTTTCGGGAAACGGAGACCCAATTAAAATGAACTAAATTGTGGCATTTATTCTTGGTACCAAAAGCTTCCAATTAATAAAAGGTCGTTCTATTCAATAACCTTCGCTTTAAAAGGTCAAGCCCATCAATTATTAATGCTTCTCTATAACCCAAAAATATTCCTGAAAATTAATATATTAAAGTGGTTGGGAACGATAATCATGTGGCCTCTATAAACACCCCTTTCCTAGTGTCTCAATTTTATCCTGTCTTCATCCATAAAACCAACTTGTTACTAGTCTCTAAGCTCGTTGGCAAAAAGGTCAGCATCTTTATTTGTTTGCCTCGGGGTCAGTTTCACTTTGTTCACTTCGAGCAATTAATACAGCCGAAGGCTCTGTCTGGGATTCAGTTTCATGAATAACACGAGGAACCAGACAGATAGATAGGCACTGGAAAAAATCGATTTTATTCCTTTCAAGTGGAAAAATTTAAACATTGAAAAGGGAAAAAATTTGGATAAGTGCAGATGATAACTAGCAGATATTTTGTTTTCTTTAAACTTTTTCTATCAATTATTTCTTTACGAAATTCAGTTTAAAATTCTGAATTCCATTTTTGTATGGTAATGCGAAATAAAACTTTAAATATGTTATCCACTTTTTTAAGGTCTATAAAATACTTTTATGTGTTTGATTTTTGGGGCTTGTTTTTAGCTACAATTGCTCTTTAAAATTTGTGGAAATTTGTTCTGTACTTTCGAGGAGTGTATTTACTGGTTTGCCATTAATTATGGACACATCCTCCGGCCCATCCAACTGGCCATTTCAGTGGGCACAACCAGTTCCCAACCGAATACTCACCGGGCGAAGAGCTCGTTCAGCAGACGCACCAATTCCTCGGCGGTGCACTGATCCGAAAGGCTGGTGAAACCGCAAATGTCCGCAAAAAGGATGCTGGAATGGCGAAAATGGGAAATATGAGACCGAGAGCCTTTGCAACTGACGTACATAGAGTGAAAAACAGTACAAAAAAAGCAGCAATAGGTTTTTGGTTTTAAAACCAAGATAACCTTGTCCTTTAGTAAGCAAATTTCACTACCGAAGTTCGTGAAAACATTTTTGTGACAGCTCTCCTTAAAATCAAAACGTTGAAGTGATTTCAACTTTTTTTTTCTGTGCAGCAATCAAAATTCATTTTTAAACTGCGGTTGTTTTTGCTGAAGCGTTAAATTGTTGAGGTTAAAATGCCCTGTTCTCTTTTCCTTCTACTTATTTCCAATATAAAGTATTCCTTATATAAAATCTTCTAAGTGTTTCAAATTGCTTTTTTAAAGTAGCTGCTTCTGGGGAATTTTTAATATATTCATTCTTCGCCTTTAAACTGAATAAGCTTCCGTCTTCGTGGATATTTTTCCCCCCTTTATTTTAGGCTGAATTATGTGTCGGTTATTTATTCTCGTAAATCTAACAATGTTAAATCCTTTTTCACGTTACTCCTGGCCCAAACAACCTGGCCATGTGTTGACAGAGCCACGTTAGCACAGCCAGTTGCTACTTTCTGCTGATTTTACGACTCGTAACTGAGAAGGGCTTAGTCGGATCAGCGCGTAATTTAATACAAAATGGCTGAGCAAAAGTTTTGGGAGGGTAAACATAAGGCACAGAAACAATAGCTACTCGTTAAGCAAATTGAAAGAAGGAATACTCTCCTTGCGATGTTTATTAACTTCAATTTAAATCATGAAAAAGAGAGAGATATCACGTCTCTTGTAAGTATTTTCCATAAGAAACAAATTTATATGACTTTTAAGATTGCCTCTAGAATTTCCATTTAGGATCTTCAAGAAGCGTCACGCACTCTGTATCTTTATCTTTATCTTTCCAGCTGTAAATCACTTTTCCTCCTTGACAACCTCAAACAGAAATCGCAGCAACTCCTTTTAAATGGAAGCGAGCCAAAAGCAACAGACTGAGGACATTTCTGGCTCAAACAGGTGCGCCTTAAAGTATGCTTTATTATGCTCGGTTGGCTGCCGTATATGTGTGTGTGAGTGTGCGTGTGTGTGTGCTTGTGTGTTTTCACTTATGTGTGCGTAGCGCTGTGCACTTGCTTCAGCTCCTTTTTGGCTTTGCATACAAATTCATTGCTCGCGTTACACGCTCAGACATTCAGACATTCGGAGATTCCCAGCCAAACAATTTATTGACTTTGCATGCAAATAAATTCCCCAGCCCCGAATATCCTGCCATCCTGCCATCCTTTCCATCCTGCTATCAAGTCCACTCACCTGACGTTCTCGTGCCGCTGGATGTATATCTTGTGGAACTGGGTGTCACGTGGCTGGCCCGCAATGTCGTCCTTCATCTCCATGGCCACATGGCGCGGCAGCACCGACAGCAACAAGCGTTCCTGCAACAAATGGATCTGCTTTAAAACCATCCAACGCATCCATTACGGCCACCCGAAGTGCGACTCAGAGTTAAATCTGCTCCGGGATCAGTCTGCATAAATTAACTTTACGATTTCGTACTCTATAAAAATAAAGTCCCTCATTTTCTAAGTGAATTTTAAATCCTGTTGTACAATGGTAATAAAAAACTTTATGAATGTATAAACTTTTTAAAGTTAAAGTTGCAGGCATTTTATTTATGCAGATAATAGATTTTTGTTTCATTCAATTTTGATTGGTGAAAGTGTGCTTGTTCAAAAATATATAAAATTTATCACATTGATAATTTGTGTTGCTTTAGAACTTAAAGTAGATCCTTATGAAATTTCTTAATCAGAGCTCTTTAATATTTTTCCCTCGCAATTTATATTTTTAGTTCAAAAAGCCATGATCAAAAGGTGTCGTAACATTATGGAATCTCCACATGAAGCGCCATTTACTTGTTGTTTTCGAGATAAAAGGCCACCGAAACTTGGAGGAGGTGTAGGTTATTCCGAAAAGACAGAGATGAATCAGCACCCCGCTGCTCCTCAGTCAACATTCCGTTTGATGCAAACAATTTGTGAGAAATTTGCTCGAAGTTCATTTGTGTGCCTTTTGGTTTGTTCGTTGGCCTTTTCATGTTATACACCTACATGCCAATAAAACACCTGATGATTTTTCTTTGTCAACAGTTACAAAGGGGTTTTCCTTAGTGAGAAATGCTGCCTACAGTAAAATATGGTAATAAAGATATTTCTCATAAGTAATTATGTTTTTGGTAGGAAGTGAGGTAGGATTTCCAATGCATAAGATACTTTTTTATGATAGTTGTTTTTGCTTTTGTTCTGTTTCTAATATCTTAAAGCTCTTCCCCTTTTATAAATGCAATTTTCAACCTAAAATACCACTCACCTGTTGTTGATTTTCGCGCTGTGTTCTAAGTCTGGCCTCGATGCATTGGCGCGTCTCGATGAAAGCCTTCCTCTGGGCCTTCTCCTTGGGCCAGTGGGTGTAGACCCCGGTGAGATTGGCCAGGAGCATTGCCACCAGTGTGCAGAGCAGCTGCGGAAGGAGATTGCGGCATTAATGACATTACGAGCCATAAATACAAGGAAAACAACACTTAGGCAGCTGCTACGAGGGCCCTCCACATTCTCGATTTCATTCAATTTGGCGGCAATTTAATTTCATTTCATTCACGTCGACTCCCTGGCCCTTGGACACGTGCCACTCTCAGCTGCCGAGCTGCTGTTTTTCCCCCTGATTTTCCCATATTTTCCCATCCTCCAGCTCGCAAAGGAGGCAATTAAACCTAGATGGCTGCCCTTTCTGATGCTGAAATGCGCCGTATTTCAATTTTATTATTCGCTAAATCAATTTGCATTTGCGGCTCAGTGCGAATGCCAAACCTGTTGATAGATGGCTTTATGCTTCATTTGCAATGTAAACAACAGCAGTGGCATAAGTTATTTTATACACCAAAGCCAATTTGCCCTTCAAGCCAAAAGCCTATTAATCCAATTAGCAAATGGAGCAGAAAGACGGTTTATAAACAGCATAAGTTATCTTTAAATCCATTATTCAAAAATTCTACCTGCTCCATTTAAACTTAATTGTTTATGTTAAAGAAACTTTCCAGGTTATTTAAAACGCCATTTCATGACCCTTTGTCTCTTGAACAGTTGAGTTTTACAACTTCCCGTCGGTATACAAATTTATTTAAATGCTTTTTATTCGTGTAATTACACTCGCAATTAAAATAGATTGAATTTAATCACATGCATGCCACAGTAATTTACGAAGTCGAAGACCACACCTGTGTCACGTTTTTCTCACTCCCTTTCGAAGCTTTTACTCCAGTTTATTTCCATTGATTTTTTTTATCAACTTTTCAAGTAATTTAAAATGACTGTACTACAATTTCATTCACTCCATTTTAAGCTAATTATACTCCTTTTCCTTTCTTTGTGGTTTAGACAAGAATTTAATTTACTCCAGCTGAACTCAATTGCATTTTAAAAATAATCTTCTTAAAAACATTAGTTTTTAATAATCCATATAATAATTTATGAAGCAATAGCAATTCCTTGAAAATGTTTTTATATAGATGAACCTAATTTTATATGAATCAATCCGTTTAAGCTCAATTGTACAATTTTACTTGTCTGTTCCTCTTAAATGGAAGTAAAGGAAACAGCCATAACCAATCTACACTAAACTCAAGCCACAGTAATTAACCGAGTCGAGGTCCTCACGTGTATCGGGTGTTCCCCCATCATTCTTACTCACCTCCTCCCACTGCAGGTCCTCCACCACCTCGTCCTCATTCTCATCCCGCGCGGCTGCGAACCTCAGACAGGTGTACAGATGGACGACGCTCAGGAGGACGCCGCCGATCAGAGCCTCCCGGAGGCGGAGGGGCAGCATCGTGTAGGTCATGTAGATGAGCACGATGCAGCAGGCGCTGCCATTGAAGGACTTGCTGCCGGGGGAAATTGGACACGAGAAGAGCGATTAGGACACAATGGAGCACAGATGCGGTTGTTTGCCTTGCATGATTCGAAGTTGCCGCAATTAGCGAGCCGTGAATGATTAATTTTGCCGAGCCGAGTCGAGCAACAGCTGCTATGCACTCGAAAAAATTTAACAGACAAAAAAATCTAGCTAAAGCAAAAAAAGGTTACAATGCCAAAAACCTACAAGTATATTTAAATTTCAAATTTAAATTGTAAAACTACTATTATCATTATGATTTATAAATTAAAAATGAAAATAAACTAAAAAAAATAAAATATAGATATATTATGAATGAATAGCTAAATAAAATCTGTACTATTTATTTATTTATTTATATTATTTAACTTTGGCTCAATATAAGCTTTTCATAAAACATTCAAGTTCCTTGTAACTCATTTTGATTTATCATTGATTTTCAATAATCACTTTTTTGCTTGTAAGTATTGCTTAATCCTTTTCTTTCTGTGGTAAACCATCGAAAAGAACGCGTATACCAACCTGGGTTTCATGGCGTAGCTGACGGCCACTTCGATGGCGAGAAAGGTGCCCAAAATGACGTAGGACACGAGCACCAGGAAGATCTCGTTCATGGCCGGCTTGGAGAGGATGCACAGCAGGACTATGGAAGAATACAAAGAGAATAGAGTCCAAAGACGGGAGCCACCCGATGACGATGATGACCAACTCACAGGCATAGACAATTCCGCAGATTAGCATGACGATGAGGAAGACCAACACGGACTCGTCCACCTGCATCAGGATCAGGGATATAAGGTGGCCATAGTCCGGAGGAGGGTCCGAATTATCGGCTGCAGGTCCTTCGATTGACGATGTGTTTAGCACTTCATCACGTTCCGCTACCGAAATTTGATTGTTGTCGCGGACACGCGGCGTATACGTAATGCGTTTGCTGTCGACTCTGCGCCCTCCATCATCATCACCATCGTCGTCGTCATCATCCTGGGAAATTGTGTACACATCATCGGGGGCAGTGTCAACAATCAGCTGGCTGCCAACCCCCTTAACCAACTGAATGTCCTGCAGATTCCGCTTCTCCCTCGTCCTGTATCTGCAATAAAGTCCCAAATTTCATTTCACTCGCATTCTCGATTGATGAAAATGTCTGTTTTGTGTTTGGCCAACTATCCGTCTTGCCGGCATTTATGGCCAGCATAAATATTTGTGGCAAAATAAATCTAAATGTAAATGAAAATGGCAGGCAAAATGAATTCGAGTAGTCAGTTATAGAACACTCGTACGGGTATTTGATTAAAGCATTGTTCTGAGTATTTTCCTAAGATATTTTCTTGTTTCGTCTGACGCTTTGTTTGGGATTAATTTGTTGTGTATTTTTTTTGTGGGAAAATAAATTGCAATATAAGAACACAAAGTTGCAGTTTATATAAGTTCCTGACAAGTTTTCTCGCATAGAAACTAGCTTCTACAATTTTTTGGCAATTTGTTTTACGTAAATTCTCTTTCTATTTAAACAAGACTTTTGTTTCGTTCTCCTTGATTTATTCGAATTGCTATCTCTTCATTTAAGAAATACCACACTGTTTTTTTTAACAAACTTTCTGGAAATCCTAAACCGACTTAATTTATTTTGGGGCTTATACCAATTATTCAAAATTGGAATCGTACGCTCTTGTATAAATTGTGTTTTCTTGTGATTCCGACTTGAATTACCTCTTCTTGATTTTCAAGAAGCTTCTCCCCTTTTATTTGCTAACAAATTTAAGTGATTTTCCATAAAGTGAGTCTTTAAAATCAATTTCAGCTCATTTTTCCGTACTTGATTAAAGCCATGTCATGGATTCGCTTCGATCGAATTGTGGTCTTTGCCTTGGCTAAAATTACTTTTCCTGGAGCTTAACTTGTTCCGTTCCCTCCAGTCCGCTTTAAATTCAATTTGAGCCTACTTTGTACGTACTTTTATGGGCTCAGCTCTTTTTGGCCAGCCTAAAGTTGTTTGATTGAATTTCAGGGGAGCTCTTTGAGTAAAACCTCAACTGCGAGCTGCGCAAAATATGAATCGCCTTTTGGGAAAAGCACATTGTCGGCTGGAGTGACCTGTCAAGAAACTTGCCTCTTCTTTCTCATTTATATAAAACCTCCATATTTTCATCTGCAGTGACGACAAGATTGCTTTATTATAGCCAAATTAAACTATGTTATTAAAGTGTATTGCCTCTGGAAAAAGCAGAGTCAGGAAAATGTGGCTTACCATTAAATAACTCAAGCATAAAGTTAATGAAAAAATCTTAAAAATTTCCTAAGCCACGAACCTTTTAGGAAATATAAATGTTGAATTTAAAAACAACATATAATTAAAATATGCAAGCTTAATAATCAAGCATTTTATTTATATTAGTATAAAATTGCACATTTATGAATGATAAATTTTGGCTAGAGGATTTTTAATAAGAATTCGTAAATGTTTGTAAATATATACTTTAAATTCTTGATTATTGAGCATATATTTGTATTGCACCTATTTCAAGATTGTTTACATTTAAGTTTATCATTAAATGTGTCTTAATTAACTGTTGCAATTATATGTAACAATTTTAATAGTTTTTAAAATAGGACCGGCTAGTTGGCATCTCTACTCACCTGGTGCGATGTTGTTGATGTTGTTGGTGTTGCTTTTGCTTGTAGCGGTGTTTGTGGAGACGTCGATAATGTTTGCGCTTCTGCCGACGAAACTGCCGCTCCGGCTGTCCATTACCAACCGCTTCGAAATCTTCGAAATTGCGGTTTTGGGCGGATTTCAAATCAGAGCCTCCCGGCGAGCTCGCCACCCAAATGCTGCCGCTGGAATTGGAAGCCAGTGCAGGAAGGAGGCTCCTGCCCTCGGCAATTTGACCCACCGATGCCGGTGGCTTAATGGAGGTGGTCGTCAAGTTGCCGGCGGTCGAATTTGCGTCCAGCCGAATTTCGCTGATTTCCAGCAGCAGGGAGGTGCTGCGCCGCAGCTGCAGCGTTGTGAAGACCAAGTGCGTGCAGGACAGGGCCAAAATCAGGGCCAAAAGCAGCGCCAGAATGTGCGTCGTGTTGCTCTGGTTCATTCGCAGAAAATACCGCTGATACAGCATTTCCACCTGTTTAGATGGGGCCAAAAAAGGAGCACTTAACGAATTGCTTTATAACCATTTTTTAATTCAAAATTATAAGTAAAAATTAACCGATTTTGAATGGATGGTTTTTTAAAGTAAAACAAATATGTAGTTTTCAAAATAATATTCTGCATACTATTTTCTACATTACATTTACATTTTACTTTTTTTTACAGGTAAATTACACAAATATTTTATAAATATTTATTATAATTTTGAAAAAATTTAATTGAATTGAATTGAATTAGTTTCATTATGTTTTTTAAACAAATTTATTTAAATATATCCACATTTTTTATTAACTAAATTATTTTAGGCGACGGGAAAACAAATTTGATATGAAAATAAAGTTTCATATTAAATATGAAAGCATTGTTCTTTTGTTAGATCTTAAGTTAGCTTTTCATATATTTCTTTCAAATATTTGTTTTCGTGATTTAAGAACGATTTGTGGGTATCATTCCCAGTGCTGGCAAGGAAAAAGTTGCGCAAACTAAGTGGCATGGCAAGCGAAAAAGTTTCAAAGAGTCCTGGCGGTCGAGGAGGAGTTGCAACTTGTTTGGCAAAGGATTTCACGCTAAGCCTGCGGCGTAAGTAGCTTACCTGGAGATTCTTGAACTGGTGCGTGGAGCAGAGGCGCAGGATGATGCGGTTCAAACGGAACCAGAACGAAATGCTGGGGCTCACAGGACCATTCCCCGGTCCAGATCCTCCGCCGCCCGGAATCGGATTGTTGGCCTCCACATTACTGCCATCCCCTGCAAAGCAAAAACATTCGATTTGTAGGTAGGTGGTGGTCCTCTTCTTCGAAGGCCAAAGAACTTGCCCCCCACACACACAAATGCCAAATTAATTAATACCTCGGCCAGAAAGTTATCCCAACTTGAGGTCTAACTGAAATTCAACTGCAATTAGACCCACAAAACGATTGCAAATTACAGACCGAATTTGCAAGTTGAATTACAGCTGTTGCATTTTCACATCCCAGTAACCGCACAAATGGGAAATCGCTCCGGATCGGATTAAAATTATGGAAATCGTACTTACAAATCCGTAACAGCATGAAATTTGAAAGTTTCCTATTCACAGGAGACTTTTCATTGTATATAGTCATTGACATGTGTTTGAATGGGCGGCTAAATGCTGATGTTATTGTTCAATGAACAAGTTCTTTGCGTAAAAGCTTAGTTATCAACAACGAATTATATATGAATTAACATATTACATGCATAAATGGTAGGTAATTTATATTTGCCATTCCATCCGCCAATTATATATAATATGAAAATATTAAATTGTGACATTCAGAGGCGTTTGCTATTTATTAGTATTTAGTATAACAAGCCTAATTAAATGCTTAAATATTTAAGCCTACTAAAAATAAGCTCTACATTAATTCGATTTGAATGCAGTAGTTTAAAGTTGTTTCACATCTTTTTCAGTTAAATTTTATGGTTATTAATGTAATGTATTAAAAATGTTTCTTTGCAATGACCCAAGTAAATTAAATTGTCACGAGAGAAACTTTATCATAATCTATTGTATTTTGTATTTAATATAACAACAGTTTTGACCCTATAAACACATTTAAATCTATTTGAATGGAAAACCTAACAGAAAGACTAGGAACACCTCTCTACCCACATAAACATGTTTCTTGAGCCATTGTGACACCGAGTACAATTCATTCGCTTAACGTGTTATACACATTTTCGATTTGCCAGCGATTGTGTGCGTCACATCACCATCAATGCTCCTGACATTTCCCTTCCTGAGAATGGAAGCCTTGATTTCAAATGCAGCACACCCAGCCATAAAATATTTTATTGTAATATGTAGAGAGCGTCAGGCAAAGCGGCATATTAAAGTCATTCAACTGTCCCGCATTCTGACCACAATGTAAAAAAGCCACAGAACACAAACACAAAAACGAAGGGCGGGATTGGATCTCGAAGTATGTTCTTTATATGCATCAATAAATAAATGCCAAACGTGATTATGTAAATTTCCATAGAAATCTACGCAGCTTGCTCTATACAAGAAAACCAAAGGCTGGCTCGTTTCCCTCAGAGGAAACACAAACTAAAATAAATCTAGGTGGTGGGGCGATGGAGGCTGTGAGGATGATATGGGGACTGGGCATCCAAGGCAACCTTGAAGGGGGGAAAAAGGCGAAAGGCGAGATGTGAGTGAAATGCCAATGACGAGGAAACGTGAGACGAAAGGCGAGAAAAAAAAGAGAGGAGACTGCGAAATAGCCTCGTCAAATTCAATATGACAATGACAATCAACTTGTGACATTTTGAGCGGTGCGGTGGGTAGAATACGAGTATGTGGAACCTTTCTGGCCAAAGGAAGACATGTGAGCATGCTGGTATTTTTATTGACCCTCAGTGTCCCCTGTTATGAGAGGTAAACGCTTTCCAATTACCCAAGATTTTTCCACATTTTTCTCGCTTTTCGCTTACCTGGTTGCAGCAGCTGTGTTTCGTCACGTTGGTAAATCATGGGGCTGTGGCAGGTGGAGCTCGAGTTGGTGGAGTCCATGGATTCGTCGATATTGCAGCGCGTAATTCCAGCCTTGAAGGTTAAAAAGAGGGAAGTACAAATGGGGGAATACCAAAGAGCCTCAAGGCATGAAATCAAATCTGTATATTTCAATTAATCCGCTCCCTTAGGCTAAGCAACATGTTGTATTGGTTTTTATCTAAAACAATCTACTCTTTAATTTGTTTTTATTGCAACTAATTGAAACTTTTTCGAGGTAGATTAAAATCAAAGCAATTCCACTACTAGCGAATATAATTGAATTAGTGAAATTGACTTTATTTATTGGATTTACTATGGCATATTAACAACATCATAAATATGGATTTAATAGAAAAAGCCTTTGCCTAACAATTTATTCCATCCAAACCTAAAAAAAAATTTTGTCAGCTTAAACCTACAAATCAAAGCATAACTAATTTGCATGTTAATTATTATAATTTGAAACCAGTTTATTAAAATGGTTAAAAGTTTAGATTTTTTATATATTATATTTACAATTCAAAAGCATTTTAAATGATTATAAAATGTTTAAAGGTTACAGATTCTAATAACAAAAAAAATTCCGATGGTTTGACTTTGCCAACTAACTACAAAGAGTGACCACATTTGTCAGCCGCTTAATTATGTATACTTAGTAAATATACTCGCATTCCTTTATTTACATAAAAAATTCATTTGGCCCTTGTAAGTATGCTATGATTTTTTGTGGGGTCCGCAAACAATTGAACTAAACGTTTCACCCACTCATGCACACACTCACCCACACAAGCACACCCGCACAAACATACACACACACATAAAAGAGTGTTTGGATCCCCGTGGCGTTTTTAAGCAAATTGCCGCCCATTTGAATGCCTGAAATGTTTTTCCCTCGCTCCTCTCGCTTTTTTTGCCTTTTCAATTTGCTAAACTTTGTCAATTGACTCTTGACAACGAACGCAAATAGGAATACTCTCACACACACACACACACACGTGTGCAGTTGCTAAGTGGCCCCCTGTGCATGTCAGCTTTCGCCTGCATGTGAGGGTGTATGGGTGTTTGCCTGTGAGAGTGTGTGGGTGAGTGCGTTTTCCAGGAAACGGCTTGTTAGTTGGCATTAAAACACGTTTATATAGAGTAGCGCATCTAAAAATCTACTAAGGGGAAAAATATATATAAAAAGAAACATAAAAACTTTTTGAATAGTTGCAGCTAACATTGAATGGAGCTTCAAAAAATTCTAATATTAAAAGCCAGTAACCATGGAATGCACTTTTTCCTAATTGTATTAAATTTATCTGCTAACAAATTAAAATAAATATTTCTATAAACTTTACTGCAATTTTTACAACATCACCATTTTATTTTCCGTTTCACAATAACTTTATCGGAAAAATTTTAAATTAAAAGAGCTTTTGACATCTGACATTAAAAAAATCTAGATTTAATTCTCTCAAGGTTGAACCAATTTCTCAGAAAAAATATATTTTCTAGTTAAACTAAAATTTCTAGTATTTTTCTCTCACAGCCCAAGGAACCGTAAATTAATTAAATATAAACTAAATTAAAGCAACAATGTGTTAAGCTAGTGTAAAAAGTTTTTATTTCGCCACTGGGTTTTTCCCTTGAGCAAAATGTCGGCATCGATGGCAATGGAACAATAAATTTAATTAAAGTAAATTTTGCTGACATGAAGCTGGCTAACTTTCGTCAGATTGTTGGGCTTTAAATGAATTTCCCAGGGCGAAGTGAAATGTTTCGTCCCTTTCCGCATCCCAGTGGAAATTTCAGCCATCAATGAAATTGTATTTAAATTTAGCTCGGCCCAGCTTATTTGCTGCCCAATCGAATTAAATATTTAAGCCCCCACGATGGGGCAAAAGCGGTGATGTGGGGCCAACAGGTGGGTAGCCTGCCTGCCAACGACGTTGCGTCCATTAGGCGGGCAAATTAATTGATGCCAGAATCCCCTCGTACTTACCGCAATCAAACTGCTGCTAACCATGGCCTTGCCTCCCTTGGCACTCGTATTGAAATGTTCGATCACCTCCCAGTTGGACTTCTTCGGCGTCGACGGTTGCGTTTGCGTTTGCGGTGAGCCCGCTCCCGAGGAGGCTCCCCCTCCCCCTCCACCTCCTGCTCGTCCTCCTGGAACATGCAACTCCATGGAGGACTGCTGGCTGCCACCAACTCCTCCTCCGCCAACGCCTCCACTCCCCGCCTGACGCAAAGAGGCCGAGCGGCTGAAGAACTTTCTGTGTTTGCTCTCCTGGAAGAAAAAAATACAAAGTAGGTGTGAGTACACTGATGAAAAGAGCAAACCAAATCGAGGTTGGCCTTTAAAACTTAAAACAAACAACAGAGAAATATTTAAATAACAACAAAAGTGGGAGAACTAAATTTGAGTAAGAGAAAATATTTACAGGGTGAGTTTATGTATTTAACACCTTCATTTTTACCACTGTTTTATATTCTAGTTAAAGTTAATAGTGGAAAACTTTGTTTGCAACTTATTGATACCTTTAAATATTTAAGGTGTAAGATATAACTAAACTTCAAATTAAAAAAAAATGTATGTTCCACATAAGGTAAACACAACTTTATATTTAATTAATTAATTTATTTTTACTAAGTACTTCGCGTTTTTTATTGAAGTTATTATTAGTATATTGCAATCCAACTATTTTTCTGATTATCAAAAACTTGTTGACTGACCAATAAAATAATTATATTATATAATATTATATTTCTTTTAGTGAACTTCTTTAAATCTTGTGTTTCTCCCCCGAGTGCTTTTGCGCAATGATTTTGTGCTCGATAATGTTGGGGTCAATTAGCTCACCTCCTTGCTGCTGGCGAGGCTCTGGGCTCCGCCGGGAGCTCCATGGCGCATTCCCCTCAGGGAGAGCCGCTTCGACCACTCCCGCTTCTGGCTCTCCGACGACAGCGAGCGGAAGATGTGGGTGGCACCACCACCACCGCCCACTCCGCCCACTCCACTCGGGCCACCTGAGCCACCGGCGGCCGACGCTCCACTCATTCGACTTGGAAGCGGCTGAATCGCTGAAACGAGAGATGCGAATGGGAAATTGATTTTCAGTTTACATGCTAAAGGAGGCGCAAAGAACAGGAGGCAGTGCGCTAATTTCTAAACAAATTGCCAATTTTTGCGCTCGACAGCGACAGAAAATGGCATTAAAACAATAAATTCGATTTTGCACAAGCGAAGGCAAACCCGAACCCCAAAAACAAAGCAACTCAAACAGAAACTGAAGCCCCCGCAAAAAAAAAAAAGCATCGCAAACTGACGCCGCCAATAAATATATCGTATCTACTTTTCGGATTCCCCCACCACCCATTTCCCCCCACACATACACACACATAAAAATACATAAAAATATATGTTTTTAAGGTTTATTCGCTTTCTTTTTTTTTGTTTTTGGGTGCCGGCCCACTTAAGTCCCACGAAATGCTCGCCAGACACGCGAGGTCCTATCAAAACAGAAGGAAAAGCAGAAAAAATGGAGAGATGGGCAGGACACTCCGACGAGTACAACTTCAGATTGTTTGCTAAATTTTCAAATGAAACAAAAAGTCGGAAGAAGGAAATGCAAAGAAAATTATCGGCGATCAAGCGAAGTTTTAATACCCTTTTAAAATAATAAAGTACACGAGATTATCGGAGAAATACTGCAGATGAGCTGGGAAAGTGAAAGCAAAGATTATCTTGTATTTATGATTATATGCTTAGGAAAATATTCTTAGGTGCTGTTACAAAGGAACAAAATATCATCTTGTTTCATAAAAATTTCATTTAATTGCTAAGGAAAAAAAGAAAAAATTAAATGTAAGAGAAAAATGGTAATATAATTTTTGCCTAAAGGTAGAAAAATAAAAGAAACACTAAGAACAAATAAATAAAACAATAACCAATCAATAAAATGTTTAAAAGATTTAATGTATTTGTATAAAATCTCAGATTACTTTGCTTATATAAATAAAACTTAATTGAAAACATTGTTCTTTACCAGCTTTATTAGTAACAAGAAAACAAAAACAGCAAAAAGAATACAACATGCGAATTGAAAATAACAACATCAAAAACACTACAACCAATTTATTCAACGATTTCCCTTAGACATATTGCAAAATATAAAACTTTAAATCAAGAATTAAAGTTTAATCACCCATAAATAGCCCCAATCTCCCGACACAGTCAAACTGCCCGATTTGATTAGCATTCCAAACAAAACTGTGCCACAGACAACAGCAAAACAAAAGCCGGGAAGAAAAACCAGGGCGAGAAAAAACGGAAATAAAAGGAAAGTAAGCAGTTAAGGGAAAACTTCCATGGGGAAAAGTCTTAAAGCCAAACACAGGTCGTTCGCCATTCGCCATTCTCCATTTGCCACTCGCAACTCGCCGGCTTCTTTGCTCTTCATCGTCTCGTCTTCATCGTCGCCGTCTTTTGCCTTTTGTCGGCTTTTGTTTTTAGCCAGGGGCGGCGTTGAAAACTTTGCCAATACAAGGCATAAAGGGGGCGTGGCAGTTGGACAGGGGAAAAGAGGAAAAGGCCGAGCACAAGTGCCTGGCCAACGGCATAAATATGTCAAAAACACAACGCTCCGCGTGCTATAAACAAATTGGTTTGCTGTTGCCCAAAAAAAAAAAATGTGAAAAATTTCAGCAACGAGAATTTCAGCCAAAAAAATGAATGGAAAAATGAATTTTTAAAAAGAGTACTGCCTATTGAATAACACAACAAACATTTCTTTAAACTTAACTGAGAAAAATCTTCGAAAATTCCTATGAATCAGTTCACGCTATTTGCCATTCAGATATCTTTAGTTAAACACTTTCCCCACCCGCTGAGATGAAAAATTAGGCGAAGGAAAAACCCAAAACTCATAACATAAACTAAAATGTATATTTCCCAATAAAATTATTATCTTTTCAATTGATACTACAACTTTTTAAGGTCAAAGCTTAAACAAATTTAAACGCAATTATTTCATAAAACACTTTTAGCATATGGCAAAAAAAAGGATATTAGGAACATCAATTTTTTCTTAAAGAAAATTGCTAAAGAAAATCCTTCAAAGCCAACATCAATTAAAACAAGTTTCCTAAAAAGAAATAGGAACAACTTTATGTCTACAGCTTAAAGTTGCCAAAGTTTTCTTTGGCAGCAAAGCTAAAACAAAAAAAAAGAGCGAGTTTGCCAACTTCCTGCTCATATGCAAAATAGGCAAAGGAAAACTCAACTTTGAGGATGGAAAAGCAGTGGGAAAGTCCCCGGAGACGTTTCCTTGGCAATTGATAAGTCTCCTTAACGAAAGCTCATAAATGTCGTCATCGTCTGTCATTCGACACTTATGGTTGCCTTCAGGAATCATCTATTCAATGGCTTAAGTCTTAAGCTATTTTGCATTTTCCAATAGCGCCTCTTGGACTTTTCCAAATTGAGGCAGACAGTAAAGTAAAGAGCCTGCTGACAGACAGAAAATTCAAACGGATTTAATTGGCTTGAACTGCTGAGTCCTTTGGCGTTGCCTGGCAATAGTTGAGAACGCAATCAATCAAAAATTATAATTTTGGGATGCTAAATCAAATGATTAATCACAGGCCGTCGCAGAAGAGAAATGGTTGATCATTCTGCACAGTTTGCAAATCATTAACAATCATTGTCGAGTTTAAATGTCCTTGGTAATATTATTATTTATTTCGAGGAGTTATAGCAGCTATTATTCTACAAATTTAACAAGACAACAACAAAAACACACAACCTAAATACAAAAATAATTTATTTTATAGCAGAATATTATTGGATCTTCTATAGTTATAAAACAATGATATATTCATCTTTATCCCTCTTTAATTCCTCACTTATCGGCTTAAACTTCAAACGTTTATCCCTTGTTTGCAATTCTAATGCAACGAAAGTCCTAAAAACTCCCACTAAATCAATGTCATCGCCCCGTTTTTCCCACTCCATCAATCTATTTGCGCACCTCGTCAGGTAAATGGCATGCAAACAGTTTCAACATTCAGGAAATATTGGTGTATATATCGCCTCGGTTATATTCGATTCGATTCGATGCGATGCGATACGATTCTATCGTTACCGCTGTACAAAGGCAATTCATTATGTTAATGGCGCTAATGGTCTGGCAAATATTGTGGCCGCAACAAAAACACCATCGCCGGGAAAACAAGAAAGCACAGCAACAACGCCAGGATAAACTTTTGTGTCAGCTTCGAGCCAAACAAAAATTAATAAAAACAAAACCAATTTGATAAGCGAAGCAAATTAATGAGGGCGGCACTTTTCCTCTTTTCCTCGCCCACTTCCTCTGGAAAAACGCGACATGTGTAAATGGGGAAAATGGGTGAGGAGTACCACACACTGTTTGTTGTTTGCGAGTTCTAGGGTAACTGGTACTTGAAATTTGTATTTCCACAAAATATTTAAATTTATTCTTTTGCTTGTACAAGAAATTTTTCATAATACTAGGTACTTTAACTGGGTTTGAAAGTATAAAACAATAAAGAACTTTATTGGTTATAAATACTGTATACCAACACGATTATAAAATACTAGTTCCTTATAAATTTTTTATTTTAAAAGTATAACCAAACCAATATACCCCTAGAAATACTGGATATAATAGCAGTACCAAATAAAACCGAAACAGTTTGCGAGGAAGCTTTGTCTGCTTTCCGTTTCACGCCTCCTCATGTATATTCATTCATTAACCGGGCTACAGAACAGCTGGTGGCATTTGGCATAACCCACTGTCCCTTCTCCTCCCACTCCCCCACTACCACCTCATTGAAACCCCCCTTGGCACACCCCCTCTCCAATTAACCACCGAAGTTTCAGCCTCTAGGTAAGTTCTCTCTAAATATAGTTATTGAAACCAACATTCACGCACTACCACACGTGCGAGCACCACTTACCCACATGCTCAGTAACACATGCCACAAAATGCACTGAGAAAAATGGTTTTTGTTCTTTAAGAAAATTTAATAACAAGTTATTTTGCTAGTTTAGTTAACAAGTTGTTACTTTTAAAGTAAATGTTTATATTTAAGCAGCAGTAAGTGATAGAACTCAATCAATTCCTATTTCCATGTGTAATTTCTTTTCTAAATTAGCTGATTTTTTTCTCGCAGTGTTTTGACTATATATATTTATAGACACCGCCAAATGTTTATGCTGCCATGTGCTGCCTGCTGTTTGTTTTTGTTCGTGATTTTTTGGTCTTTGCTGCTTTTTGTTTACGCATAGTCATCTTTGGGCGTTTTGTATAATGTTTGCATTTCATTTGACGTGTTGAGGTGTTTTTTGGTTGAAAATTTGCATTGCCAAACGAATTCATTAGCCACGCCGAAAGGTAGAAATAGTTACCGAAGCGTGTGCCATCGCAAAAGTGTCCCTTACAGTGAACAAAAAGCAAAGTTTGCCAGGAAAGCCTTTGACTAATCAAAAGGTAGGCAAACTAACTATTTATTCTAAAGGTTTATCCACAAGATCCCTCAAATAGTATTTGATTGTTAGAATAATATCATTTAATATTATTATTCTTTAGTAATTAAGATCATACTCAATTACGAAATTTTATTTTGCATTCCATATCTGCTTTAATCTTCTTTGGAGAATTGATTACAAAAAATTAGACTGATGAGATCGCTTAGAAAAGTATTTTATTGTTTTGGTTCTATTTTTTAGAAAGTACTCACTCAAGCATATATTTTTATTTGCTTGGGAAATTCCGAGCCAGCAAGCCATCAATTAAAATTCCCCCAAAGGCAACAGAATAAAAGGGAACTCTTCCTATAGAATAACCCAAAAACTTGAATATGTGCGGCCAAAAGAAGAAGGGGCTAAAACAACACTCATAATTAATACAGCTAGTGGGGAGCAGAGAGCAACGAGCATAAATTTGTTTAGCTTATAAATTTGTTAAAACAAACCCCAAGTCAAGAACCAAAAGCAAAACCAAATGCCAGACAGGACCCACATATTTGTTGAATGAGTTGTGGCCAGAAAATGCAAGAAATATTGAGGGCAATAAAACCGGTCAAGAGCATCGTAATAAAACACGACCAAAAAGCCATTGGACGATGGCCAAAAAAAAGGCGGAAAAGGGGAAAATTGGGAAAGTTCACTGCCAACAGCAGCAGTTGGCTGAGCGGAAAATGATTTTCAGCAGCTAAATGGGTAAACAAGATGGCAAAATGACTTACTAATTTGTGACATGATCCAAGTTAGCCAAGCCAAGCGGATGAATGCGACGACCTACCTGATGCCCAGATGCTATCTCCCTCCCACAACACAGCCCCTCTCGCTTCCTCTCTTTCGTTTTGTCTCAGTTTATAGCTTAGTCCCTTCATTGTTGACGATGTGCATTGAGCAGTGAAGAGAAACGTCAATACAAAAGGGGTATGATCAACTAGGAGATACTCAGTGCTCAGATATAAAAAAATGAAAAAATTATAAAATAAATTAAAATTTACTTCGTCCATAGTAACTCAAGGTTCTGATACTTTTAAATTTTTAAAGAATTTTGAATAATAAATGAAGAGCTTTCTTCGATTTCTACGTTTAATATGCTATTAGCACCTTCAAGTAAAAGTATTTTAAAAAATTTATAAATACTTCATTGAAGTACCTTTATATCTTATCTTATAGTTAAAAATCTTTATAAATACTTCATTCTAGTGCCAAGTTTGGAAAGTACAGTAAAGTAAATACTATACTAACAAGGCAATATAAATTTATGGAAGTTTAACATTAATTACATAATTTTTGATCTACTTTAGTTACTCCTAAAGTCATCCCAAAAATAAAACCAGTATACAGTAGCCACTCCCATATTTTCCCGATCACTGTGTACATCGGCAACAAAGCAAAACAGTTTCCCTGTCCCCGATTTTCCATCCTTCCTTGCCATTTTCCGTTCCGTTGTGTTTTGCTGGCTCGCTTTTCCTTTTGCCCCGCTCTTCCTGCCTGCCGATGGCTTTGTTTATTTTAAGTCCATTATCCGTTATCCTTTATGCGTTGCGCTTAGAGCCATGTGCTCATGAGGCCCAGAGTTCACAGTGTGCCTGGCCAATTCTTGGCCCGGTGACTTTTAGCCTCTGGCCGTGTTTCCCTGCCCTTTTGCATATTTTGTTTGCGGCTCAGAAAGGACCCTTTATGTCCCGCCTGCCTGTTTATTGTTTTCTGTCCCGGTTGCAATTTCATTAAAGTTATGCAGCCACAGCAGCAGCAAAAGCAGAAGCAGCAGAAGTAGGCGGGTTATGGCCTTTTTCCTCTGGCTGGTCATTCGATCTAACCCTGCCAACATTCCAAAGGACCTCCGAGTCAGCGGGCAATGTCAAGTGCCGATTTGGCATTCCGCCAGGAGGCACAAGCCTTCGCCTTCGATTGCTCGGCCCACGTCCTTGCTGAAGGATGCCTCAGGCATTGATTGCTCGCCGGTCCATAAACACAGTTCTCGCAGGTAAATTATATCAAAAGGCGATGTTGAGGAACAAGGCAGCAAGTAACCTAAATTGTTAATGAACGTACTTGGGGATTGGGGAAATATTGATATTTAGAACATAGAAATCATGAGGAAGTTTCAGCAAGTCCATTTCTTCAATAGTTGAGCCCTTCTAATTGACATTGGCTTGTGTTAAAAATATTAAAAAAAATATTAAAGTCATTAATTATTAAAGTAATTAATGATAAATAAAAATATTAAGTAATTAATGATGACCTGTTATTTTATATGATATGTTTGGTTCAATACAAAATAGTTACCAAATAATTTTACCTGAATAAACAGAAATTTCCTTGTTAAAATTGTTTTATTGTATTTATTGTATTTAAGAACTTAAAGAATTCTTTTGTCTGGTTTAAAAAAGTATAAACATTTTTTTTGACTTTCCGCACTTAAAATATTCACACATTTTTATTCACCCATTTAGCAGGAATCCCTCGACGAATTTATTTTTGGCATTCTCCGTTCAGTTCAGTAAACTGGCACACACATTTATAGTATAATAAGTGGACTGCATTTTGAATAGAGTCGAAAATTTGCGATTCGAATTTCGATCGATTGCATTTCGATGCTCTCGAATGGCGCATAAATCACGAAGTTTATGATTGTTTATATGGCAGACAGAAGTACTATACACATTCTTGTGTATCTGTTTGCATTTCTGTGTTTATATCGAAAATATTGTGTGCATTTTCATGGACAATTGCTGAGTAAGCAGAAAATCGTATTCACTGCATTGTTCCTTTTAATTTTGTTTAATTTGGCAACCGGAAAAGCCCCCCGAAAATTTCTATTGAGTTGAGTTTGCACCCGGAAAAGAAGAAATCTCTTTCGATTTTGGGGCCTTGAGCAAATAAAAATGCCTAAAGGACAAAAGTCAAATAATTGTGTTGAACTTGAGTTTTGCTTTTTAGTAATTGAGTTGAACTTGAATCCTCACTTTATTTTTGTATCTCGGCAACGGAATGTGGCAAGTTCAAGGACTCTCACTGTTTCCAACTGATGTGTCAAAGGATGCCGGGGGAATTAAGGCACAACCAGATGCTCCACAGTCTCCGATTAGAAGAAAAAAAAGGCGCTTCAGCTTCAGACAAACGGAAAACATATTGAACTGAGAGCTCAGCCTCCCTGGATTGGGGATCGGAGATTGGGGATTGGGTTACTTGGGGACTCGCCTTCAAGTTTCCATCGAATTCGTGCGTGGACTGCAAACAAAGAGGATTTTCCTCGAACTAATCAGGCGGCATTCGAGGAGAAAGGGCTTAGAGTAGTAGGTCAGTGAGGAAAAGCAGGGAAAAATAATTCCATGAATAAATTAACACGCTCAACAGCTGATTGGGTTTGGCTTTTAAAGGTCGGCGATATGTGTCCGATGCCAGACGAATATTCAATTACTAATTAAAGATGCCCAACGTGGCTGCAGCTGTGTATCTAATTATTTGGTTTGATATATATTTTGATATTTGTTGATAGCTGTAGAAATATTTGGAATACCCTTAACGTTTGTTTAACTAGAGGAACTAAAAGTTACACACAGGTTAACTTTATAAATAAATATTAAAGACATAAAATAATATTCCTGTCTAAGTATATTTAACTAAACTTATATAAATAAAAGCATAAGAAAACACTAAAGGGTAATAAATTTAGAATGGAAGTGCAGAAATCTTCTTTGTAAGCTTATTAAATTTATTTAACCATTTAAATTCTATTTTCGTGTGTTATTTTTATTGAGTTAAACCCAAGGGAGTGTATCGACACATTGGGAAATGGAAATCTAATGAATTACAGTCGAGTAAATGGGCTCAAAGCTTTGGGCTAATGACATTCAGGCTAATTAGTAATGTGTTCACACAAATTAGCCATAGATTAGATGAAACATCATTCGATACCGAGTTCAATTTCAGAAAGGTAGGCTGAGTGTGATGTAAAAGAAAATAATTGAAATGCTATTCAAATTCCTAAGTTCTTTTAAACTCGAATAAACCCAAATCCAAAACTTTCGAAGAAACTTTTAAGAGTTCCTTCTGAATGTAATTTTAATTTGCGTTGAGCCATCGATTTCCTAAAACGCTTTCACATCACACCCACTCTCAATTATAAATTCTTTGTAATCCATAAAGTTTTCTCTCTCTTTGCCAGATAACTGAGGCAGCCGAGGAAAAACTTTTGAGGCCATCTTAGTCCGCACCAGGACATTTAGTGGCTCAAAGTTTTAGCCGTTTGAGGAGCCACCTGGCTGCCTGGCTGCCAACGAGCATATCTAAAGTCAGGTGATCCAGCACAAATCCCCTCTAAGACCAGGACAAGTCTACGAGCCTACGAGCCAAGAGGTCCAAGGGAAACCGGAAGGAAACTACAGGAACTCGGGTCACAGGAAGTGCGCAACTTCACCTTTTGATGGGGCATAAACTTTTGTGTTTAACTAATTGCTGGCTCAAACCGACACACACACACACACTATCACACACAAACACACTTCAGTGGAAAAACACATGCAATTTTCATCTCTGACACTAAACCGCACTACCTGCCTGTGGTTGGGGTGGCAAATTTACTATCTCATTACGTTTGCTTAATAATTTACAAAAATATTCATATTACGCATACGCCCCGCATACAGCGGAAATGGAAATAAACCAACGCCAACGTTGCACTGGGAAAAGCTCTGAGTTGCGGGGGTTGAGGGGTAGGATTAGCAAGAAGAATGTACTAAAATTAACTAAAACAGAAGTTTAGGTGGGGAAAATCCAGCGTAGCTTTGGCACAGTAGTGGTTGGTGGAAAAACTCCCCCCATTTCCGCCCCGAAACATAATTAAATAATTAAGCGCTTAGAGTGGCAGACAGCTTATGAATGAACAAAATCACAAAGGAGCCAGCGAATCGCAAGAACCTCCCGGTCCACGGGTCGGCTACTTAATGCTTCGGTTATATTAAAAAAGAACAAACCAGAATTTATTTCCTGCAATTTCGCATACATACCTTACACGGCAAAAAGTTTTCCTCTGAATTTTCCTTGCTCCGCCTGCTGCTGATAATAACGCTGATGTTGATTAGGCTGATGATAATTTATTTCGAGTATTTCGTATGCATTAAAGAACAACATCTGAAGAATTTTCGCATATTTTCTTGTTTGTTTGCTTTTCTTTATGCCGCATTGTTTTGCTGCCAACTTTTGAACTTTAAAATGTGCGCATTTTTTTTTTTTAATGTCGAATGCCTGCATACCAAATGAAATGCCCATTTAAAGAAAAAATATTTGAAATAATTATTGCGAATTAAATTTTCCCTTTTCGTTCCCTTTTTCGATATCGCGCTCCTTGTTTTGTTTTTCTTTATCGTGGGCGATGGGAAAAGGTCTTGGAAAAATAAACTGTGTAAAAACTTTCACTTTTTCACACACACACACGCGCGAGTCGAAAAAAAATTGAAATTAAACTGATTTGTTGTAGCCCACTTGTGATTGTTGTTGTTTTCCGCTGTTATTGGTTGTACGAGATTTTTATGGTTGACAGTTCACTTTTTATGTATTTTCTGTGGCCAAAAGGGCCTGTAAACGTTGTAAGCAAAACACCGCAACAAACTTGCTAAAGGGCAATAATCTTTTTTAAAAACAAATTTGTGAATATCTATTAAAAAAGGCAATTCAAGAATTAAAGAAGGTTAGAGGAATATTTTAATATACAAATTTAGGTTTTAGTCAATGTGATTATGTAGTTTATGTAACGAAAACAACTGGCATTTTTCAATGCAAAAACTTGCTATGTAAACGAAGTAACAAATTCTTATGCTCAAAGAATTTAATGTGCAAATTGCTGGTTTCAAGGCAAATATCTATAAGATATTTAATGCAAAATAAATACTTTCCATGTTTCAATGCCAAATAAGTTTTTCTTAAGTCTTTATTATGTCTAATAAAATGTATTTTTTATCAGGTTCTGTTTTTAAGTTTAATTCACAAACAGAATTTGCAAGCTCTCAAGTCAATTTTTAGTCAACTTGATATGAATTAGAACTACGTATTTTTGTTTTAAGTTAATATTAGTTTTAACTTTAAAGTTTAATGTATTTCAAATTTAATTTTTTAAAGCATGCGAATGAGTGAAAGTTAAACAAAGCGCCGAGGTAATTGGAGAAGCCAAATTGCCGCGAATCAAGTGAAAACAATCAAATTAATTTGTTTGCTTTATTACTTTGACCCAGTGGCTCAAAGAGCATGGGTGGGGAAAAAAAGGGGGGGAGGGGCGAATCGTGTTGAGACTGACACCAAATGGCTGGCAATTTGCATACGAAATAGGCAAATTGGCAAAACAGAAATTGCAGGTGGGAGAAAAAGCAGCGAGCTTGCATAGGTGAAATTACATAAAAAGGCAGGCGTACAAGTAACAAATCCAAGCAAACAAAATGATTGAGAGGCATAAAGACACGCCATCGAGTCATCAATAGGACAGCAGTACCCGGAATTCATCTCTGACCTCCTGTCAGCCATTCAAGCCATCCAATCCCGAAACTCCCCGCCATGAACTCAATCCCAATCAGTCAGCAGAAATCAAAGCGCAAATCAACGCCCGGCAAAAGTCAAATTAGAAATCAGGAAGAACAAAAGAACGGAAAAACAACGACGAGTAAATGAGTCTTTGAAAAGCGAAACATAAAACACCCTTCTATAATAAAGGATGATAAATGAACTATTGCTGATTTATATTAATATTCTAAGAATTATTATTTGAATAGAAAAGTAGCAATTTGTGTCATAAAGTATTAGTGAAAGAAAAAATACTCATAATAATAAAACCCGCATATAATTAAAAACCATTTTTTAAATAAAAATAGGATTTTACTATTTTAAATGAAAATATACATATAAAAATATATATATAGTTTTTATTATTTTATTTTATTTTATTTTATACCTATCTTTTAATATATTTGTTCTGCCACATTTGTATTCCCCTCAGAAAATAACAACACATCCTTGCGTTAGAGTACAAAGTAAAACTAAATCATCCGTGGACAAATGAAGCGTCAAATTAGAAAATAATAAAAACAAGAATGTACGGCGAATCTATTGAAAATAAGTACTATATATGAAAATATATACACTGCGGGCGAATCATAACAAAAACAGAGATACTTCAGCCGGAAGCGTGCTCGTCGGCGGGAACAACAACAACAACAATGAGCGAAGGATACACGGATCCAAGGATTCAAGGATGCAGCCCGTGAAGACAGCCAAGCGGCAAAGATAAACCCGCATTGAAATCGCCAAATGAATGGGAATGTGGGCGGGGTCGGTGGGGGGGGCGGTAGGCGGTGGTAGGGGGTGGTTGGATTGAGATTGAAGTGGGGCGGTGGGTTACGGCAGACTGGCGGTTCAATTTTGCCATTGTTATTACTGCTGTAATACGCTTTGGGAGGAGATTACAATTTCTGATTACTTTGTTATTAATAAACACAAAAAGCGTGCCAAACACACGGCCACAGGCACAAAGATGCCCGTTGACACATGGGAAACATCTGATAGACATCCGATGTACTCATCCTGTGTGTGGCTTAGAATTTAATAGAACAGTGCGAAATTGAATTGAAATATTCGTACACTAAGCCTTTCCAAATAAATCGAAATTTACACTACTGTACATGATGGTATTATGTGTACCACAAAGTAAATAAAATAGATGTACTATACTGTATTTCAATTTTCAATTATCCCAAAAATATAACAATTTATTTGTTTTATGGAAATTTTTTTGTTTGCTTCGTTACAAGAGCAAATTTGCTTTTTACCATGTTTTATGCAATTTTAAACTAGAGCTCCACTTGAAATAAACTGATACAATAAAGAGGAAAAACAATAAAAGTGTGATTTACAAAAACTTTTAAGTCCACTATAAACCTACTTATGTTTCTCTGAAAAAATATTTAATCACTGTTTTAAACAAAAGCATTTGTTATAAAAACATTTAAATAGTTTCAAATTGTTTGTTGCTCCTGTTTTTCTGTATATTTTTTTTTATATAGAGCTAAGCCACATAATCTGGAATCAGAACTACCCGTAAACAACATCGTTTATCTATAAAAACCGTTAACAATGACATTTAACACCCAACCACCCACCAACTCCCCCTTTTCCCCTCCCCAATAAAGCAGCCTGTCTGCGTCGCGTTTATTTTATCATTTTTTGCTTTGTTAGGCAAAACGTTTTATTAATAAACTTTTCTGAGCTCAGGCCCACAAATCCGAACAACAAATACCAAACAACATGGGAAGCCCATTGGCAGGAAAAACGAGGGAAAATGCATTCTGTGCGGATGGAAATTCAATGGAGCTGCTAAGCCAACTTGTTGTATCGAGTTACTGCCATTGAATAAATAGATCGGATGGAATTAACCGAATGACAATTAAAAATTGAATTTCAAAATGACCAACAAGAAGCAGCTTACGAAGACAATTTTAACTCTTTGCCCAAACAAAATTGTTGCCAAATAAATTGCTTTTTAATTGCCAAAGGCAGAGAAACGTTAAGAGTTTTGTGCTCAAATTAAGTGTGTAAAATTTGTTTTCATTTGGTAAAGGCAATTTGATTTACAGTTATTTCGGTTATTCAATTTACTTTGCAATTTTAATGCGCCTTTAATAATTATTTAATTTTGATTTATTTGAGTTTTTGTGCCTATTAAATTCATTTTATTTACAGTCGGGTTTCTTTTTTCCTCATTTTGATTTACACTTGCAATGATTTGTGGGCAGTAATTTTTGGGAAGGTCACGGAGCATTCAGCTATGATTAATATTTGCTTATCCTAAACATTTTTGTTTTCTTTTTTGAAAAGTCTGAAATGTTTACAAATTAATATTGCATAATATTTGGATTAAATGCGCAATTAAAATTGTTTGCTTTTATTTGGTTTTTAAGAGTATTTTATTAAGAATCATTTGTGATTCAGATATTTTAATTGAATTGCTTTATTGTTTTATTTTCCGTTTGCTATTTGCGTTTCTAAGCCTACGATAAATACGTTGATTTAAACTTCATTAAAATAGAAAGTGTGTTTATTTAAATTTTTAGTTCAAATAAAATGGTTATTTTCGTATGTTGTTATTATTTAAACCAAACTTTTTATTTGAAACTATTATAAACTTTTTCGATTTTTCCGAGAGGTGAAATCTTCACGTTTTAAAAACTGCAACCAAATTAACTATTTATCTAACTAACCAACGTTTTATTTAACTAAAAGTTTTGAAAATTGGAACCAGCAACAATGACTCGTCAACTTGTTGTGTTATCACTTGAAGCCCGTTTCAGAAACTCGATGCTTTGCATTGTTATCAAGAGCTGTTTTATCCATTATCACACCACTGGCACCTCCCCACTTTCCCTCACCTTTCACACACTTTCACTTTGGCTTTGGCTTCCCTGGGCGATTTTCACAACATATCGGTTGGCGGAGAGGAGGACGACTCCTCGATGGGGCATTATCTTGTATCTATGGCCCTTCAAACGCTTTTCACTGTTGCTCGCCCCGAGTATCTTTTATCTCGCTCACACGCACTGTCTTCAACCCGGCAGCATTTTCCAGCGAATCCGTTCGGTTTGCATTCGGCAATCGTTAACCCGCAACTAAGTTGAATTTTCCTCGACGGTCGGCTTTTATGCGATTTTCCTCGTCGTCGCTTCGTCGAATGTTGAATGGCCAAAGCTTCGGCAGGCTTTTCCCACAAGCTTTTCCCGCCTTCAACACTCGACGAAACTCGGTCGATTCTCGTTCAATCAGATACTGTTTACAGGTGTTTGTTTTGGCCCCGATTTGTTGAGGTTTATGACCACCGAAAACGAAAAAAAAAAACGAGAGAAGAAAACAAATATCCCAAATATCCGGTCGAGTGCAATGCACTTGAAGCTTTTGGCATGGATTTTCTATTTGTTTTTCATATCTCGAGGGGAAAAGCGAGTGCGCAGTCCAAGAATCCGCAAACACTTGTTGCTTCGATTTTTTTTCCAACTGCGCGTAAAAGTAGGCAAGCAATTTTCCTGTCTTCTCGTATTGAATTATTCATAAGTAATTCAACAACAGCCAACCGCCGGAAACATAAAAATCCCATTTATATTTAGGCCCCCAAAAACACAAACATCCCGCCGTGCGGGAATAACATTTAAAACTTTTCAAATATTTATACGGCCAATTGGAAAATTCCTGAATTATTGAACTGGCTTCAGTTTGTCTGGGGAAATGGCGCTTCGGCTTTTCCAACTTGCGGTAGAACTTTCCCAATATTGGTTAATGAAAATGTATGCCAGGAGCCAACACGTAACGAAAACAATAAAACCCGACCACAAGCGGCCACAAATCAAAAGGAGGATGGGAGGTTGTGGAGCCAAAGGCTCACGCAGCAAGGATCTGGCAGCAAGGACCTCGCAGGACTGCCACAATGTCTCCCGGTGAAGAGTTCCCTGTTCCCAGTTCCCTGCCACGTTCCGTGCGCATTGTGAAAACATTTTTCTAATTTCCTGTCATCAATATAAATGAAATGTTCACGGCAGCAATCGACTCGTTACGAGGTAGGAGTAGGATTACATGGGTATATTCATGATGAGGGGTGACAGCGATTCAGGATCTCTCTTTAAAAGATTGCGGGAAGTTGGCGAAAATTGTTATATATTTAAATTTTAAAGCAGATTTCGAACTTTAAATCATAAAAACGAAAGCATAAATAATATTATACTTTAATGTTTGTAATTTTAAATTTCAATAAATAATTGTGCATATATAATAAGATAATGTGGTTATAATCATGAGTGATTCATGGGTGACTCCGTGCTGGCTAAAATAAATGTAACTAAACCATTCATTGAAATCCTATTCAGGTTATCTAAAATATAATTAAATAAAATATTACCTATTCCATTTAATTGAATATATTTTTAGCTTTCTTTTCAAATTCACTATCCACTTTTGACTACAATAAAGTACTGAGTACTTTTTATTCGTTTTCCCCAACCAAAGGACTTCTCCTCCCTTTTCCCATTGCGTGTAAAACCATTCGAGTCGTGAAAATATTTGTCTATGTATTTTGTAAAATTAAACAACAATTGTCGCACAGAACAGAACAGAAATTCGTAGTGGAATAGAGTGAGTGTTTGGGGGACTAGAAGCGGAGTCGCTTCACCGAGCGATAGTGGTAGCCATCGTCCAGGAGGGCGGAGGAGTCCTCCTCTCCGTTGGGCAGCTCCTCCACCACCGCATTGCCGTCCAGAGGAGGCAGGTACTCCTTCACGGGCAGCAGATCGGGAACCACGGAGGGAGTGCGATAGTGGTAGCCATCATCCAGGAGCACCGCGGACTCCACCTCCTTCTCGGGTTGCTCCTCCTCCTCCTCCACGGTTTTCACCTCCACCTGCTCCTGCGGTTCCGTTATGATCTCCTCCTCCTGCGGCGCTTCCGTGGTGATGATAACTGCCTCGGTGGTGGTGGGCTCCGCTGTGGTGGTTTCCTCGGGAATTATCACCTCCGTTGTGGTGGCCACCTCCTCCTCCTCCTCCGGCTGCTTAACCACAGGAGGCAGATACTCGTTGTTGAGCGGCGGAGGAGGCAGATAATCGCGCGGCGGCTGGAGGACATGGTTCAATGAGGCCGCATGCTGCTCCACCGGCGGCAAGTAATCGCGACTGGGCACAGGTGGCAGCACCACCGGGGGCAGGTACTCCAGCGGCAGGTGGCTAACATCACGGCGCACCACCGAACGACAGCTGGCCAGGCTCACAATGGCCAACAAAAGGCTAAGTACTTGCAGTCCCTGCTGTAAGCAAAAATATTATGGTAATAAAAAGAGAAAAATATGAATTTGATATTCAACATGCAAAAAAGGAATTTATATTAACCATTTAAAAATGTATATTAAGTATTTAGGAATTTTAGGAATTTTATTAAAAAGCTCAAGTTGAATTCATTTAAAATTGTGCAATATTCAGAAAAATCATTATATTTAAAAGGTAAATAAATTAACTCTATATCGAGCTATTTTTAATATCAACAGGAAATACATAAGTTCCTATTCGATTTTGTATACTGTTGATTTTCACTTTTAAATAAAACCATTTTTAAAACTTCAAACAGTATTTAAATTTACTTTCAATTTTACTATTATTTTTGTCTTGTTGCAGAGTCAATTCATCACATTTTTATCACCAAAATATGTTACACAATTGTTTCCACATATTAAATAACCGCCTTTTATGTCTCAAAACAAAAATAAAATCGCTAATATATCTGCACTTCGATTTTGGGCTCACCATATTTCTTGTAACTCGAACGCTTGCTTCACTTGCTCTGCAATCTGAATCTGGTTCTGACCTGCTCAATCTATTGGAGCTGCGGATGGGTTTTGCTGTCGCTGTTGAAATCATTTTAACTATTTATACAAAAAATTAGCGGGCGGGCAAAAGATGGTTCGATGGTCAATCGAACGCAATCGAACCGCATTAACACATTTCACGTCTTCAGACTTGTTCGAACTTCCAAGTTCACAGCCGGATGTTCGATGATTTTGGTGGTCATTGATCGTTAAAGATCTGAAGATCGGCTTATGTGTTTGCCCATTTGCCCATTTGCTGCCGCTGCTCTGCACTATTTGATTGCCGAAGAATCTGTCAATATTTTCGTAAGAGATTACCCCAAGCCTCGTTGTTCCCTTCCGCCATTCTACAAACACCACACCATATTTTCCTATATTTATGTTATTTTTGTTTCTATTTTTTGGGGGGGAGGAGGCCTTCGAAGCTCAGTTTCAATGTCGCCGATGTAAGGGGCCAATGTCAAGTGTCTTGGGCCATTGTAACAATTACACCGACTGCAGGCCAACAATGACGGTGCTGAAAAGTATATGAGTATAGCTCTTCGATCAGAATTGTGTCGGAGAAGTCACGCAAGGGATCGATGTAATTTGTTGCCCCATCATTCGACGGCAATTAACCGACTTATCGCACTTGACCGGCGCTGCAAACCAAAGTGGCAGTGGGTTAAAAAAAAAAAAAAAACAAGTGAAGAGGGCTCTTCAACCTTTTAAGCCAGCTTAAGATGAAATTGAAAACGAAACTCCCATTCGAAATCGAAATTCAAACGAAAATGAAACTCAGCGCAAAGAGAAAGAATCAAAATGAATGACAGCCCTATGCGATGAATGAAAGCCAACAGAATATATATTCAATCAAATGCCATAAACCAATCGAAGCTGTCACAAATCCATTTTACCAATAAAAATATTAGTCTACCAGTCTTCAGCAGTTCAGAAAAAATCACAAAAAGGGAAAATTTGTAACAGAAGCTTAACATACACTACACAACATAAAACATTGAATATTTATTGAAAACACATTTTATATATTTTAAATTTTAATAAGCCAGTTGGATTTGCTTTGGCACTAGTAAAAAAATCAACAAATCGGTGTGCAAACTTAAAAATATTTCACAGTTGGTTAGCAATAAATATACTTTCTAAAATTGTTGTGAAAAAACTATTAATACATTTTTATTTATTGATAGAATTGTGTTTATTTTGACACCTATATTTTGTGCTAATGAAGCAAATCAATAACAAGGTGTGTGAACTTCTTTAAAAAATGTTACAATGAACGGCTGTCTCAATACATTCTATTTATTTTTTTTCATCCCTTTTTTCCATTTATTTTAAAAATAGTTTTAAAAGCACCCAATACAAACCTTTTCTAAATCATCGAGACATCTTTACTATCCCCTTAAAAAGGGTATGCCAACATATAATATATATTTGCCTTCTCAAACATATATTTTTGCCTAGCTGCGCAGTGCTATCATTTTTTTGTGTGGTTCCAGGACACACAAAAAATAAGTCCAGCTCTTCTTTTATTTTATTTCTCAATGCGGCGGGCAAACAAAACAGCAAAACCAAAAAAAAAATCGAATAGAAAAAAGCAAGCAATTTTTTTGATCCGCCATTACGAACTGCCGAATATCAACTACCTTTCCTGTCCATTTTCCCCCGCAGTTCAATTCGATGTAATTTTTTTTTAGCTGGCTACGCACACCGAGGATTAGTACAAATTGAAAAACTTCCCCACAATGCACCTCCAGCCCCGAAAAATCTGATGGTTTTGCTCCACCAATTTTTCTTCGCCCGCAGCATTTTTCGTAATAGAAAAGCTAAATATTTAGTTAGGAATTTCAACTGAACTGCGACCACATGGATTTTTACCTCTCAGTTTGTTTGGAGGCGGCTTCGATTAAAATTTGCCATAAAAGTGGTCTAAAAAGTTTCCAATGCAGCTGTAGTCCTGGGGGAATGGTTTTAGTCGTAATTTTAAAGGGGTGAACTAACATTTACTGAAGCGGCTGCCGCGAGTGAGGTTCCCATGCTAACAAAAAAAAATATAAACACCACCAACACAACACTCCCAAACTGAACAACGAAAAAAGCACATTGAACAAGCCGAGAGGGAAAAACTATTCAAATTCGTCTAATGGACCATTCGACCAGCACTGTTTGCTGGAAAAAAAAAACCATCTGAACGAGAGCTGCTGAAAAAATTAAAGCTCGGGAATCCGCACTCTGGAAATTGAATTTAATTATAAGTTTTTCACAGACAAAAAAATGAAAAGTAAAATTCATTCAGTTCAATTACTGCTTCCCATTGAAAAGTTAAGGATTTACGGAAGGAATTTTATCAATGGATTTCGGGTTTTAACTTCAAATGTTGTTCCTTTAAAATAATCATATTCATAGAAGTTATTTAAAGCTTAAATATATAATTATATTTTTAAGGAAAGCTTAAATTGATAACTGAATTCAATAATTGTCTTCCTTAATTGTTTCATCTTTCTTTTGTTCTTTGACTGAAGTTTCCATATTCTTTAGATTGAAGCTTTCACTTAGCTCCTTGGTAAGTCAATTGCTCTAACCCCCACGAATCCCCTCGAAATCCTGATTGATGTTTGCCTTCTGCTGGTCTAAACTTCATTTGCATGCAAAACCTGCGAACTTTATAGCACACATAGTGCCAGGCAGTATATAGAAAACTGAACTGAGCAAAATGTAATCACGACATGAAATATGCAACAGAATTGCGGAGCGGGAAAAAGGAAAGAAGAGCTGGAAAAGCTGGAAAAGAGGATTCACGGGGGGAAAAAGGACATCGTGCAAACAGGCAACAAATTAGAGGCAATTCACGTGCCTGTCAACTTAACACATTACGCTCCAATTACGCGCCTCGTACGACGAAAGCTACGCACAGGAATCGCAGGAGGAGGAGGAGCTCCCAGGGAAGTCCTGTATCTAGTATCACTTTCCGCATAATAAAATCAGTCGGAGTTCGTTGGCTGTCGTCTTAGTTTTGCAGTTTGGCAGGATCGCAAAGGAGTGGCCCAATCGGCTTGGGAAATGCAATGCATACTAAGCAGTCAAGGAAGGGAACGAAACACGAGGACACACAGGACATCACTTATGCAACCGGCACAGCTGCAGGAACATCAAATCCTGGCCATCCTGGGACAAGCAATTCCAGAAGGTGTAACCCGTATAAAAAGCGGATAACTTTTACGACCTGGGGAAAATTTAATTACAATTTACAGGTTGACCTCTGTCAACCCTTTTCATCGGGAATAAAACACTCAAAGAAAAAGGAGGGACAAAATAAGATTATAGTTTGTACAGAGAACTGCAAAATATCTTTAAGAACTATTACTCATCTTAGTAAATATCTAATGAAAAATATCTCAAGTAATATGTCAAAATATGTCAACGTTGTCGAGAAAGATTTAAAATATCTTTTCCTGCCCAGAACCATAATTAAATTTCAAGTTGAACAAGATAAAGCCTACGGATTAAGGCAAATGGCCCAGAATTGTCAAGATAAATGTGTCTTTTGTGTGTCTCTATCGTTTTCGCTTTGGCATTGAACTGACCCCCAGATGAAACTCAATTAATTTTGCATTTCTTTTGGCCAAGTGCTGTGCCAGACTCCCAGAACTTCTCTGCCCTCGCCTTTCGGTTTATTTATTACATTTCATTCCCGGTTTGCTGTTGATTTGCCACGATTCTCTCTCGCAGTTTGGGTCGCATTGTCAAAGCGAATTTAATTGTCTCAATTATGCGCTAAATGTCGCCAGTTTTCCAACGGCTTCCACCAAAAACTCCAACCCAAATCAAGACAAGGTCAAGCGGGGCTGAATCCTTTTTCGAGGGGTTTCGGGTTGGGGTTTTTGAGAAACAGGAGACAAGTCGACGACAAGGCAACTTCATTGAAGTAATTTTCACCTCTTTTGGCGACCAAGAATTGAGGCGAGGCGACGACCAAATAATCAAGTGACTTACTAAAAAGTTAACGCAATTTTGTGGCAACTTCAAAAAGTTTCGTCAACCCTTTTTGTGGTGACTCCTTGTCGTTGCCCCAAGGAATGTCGCGAATGCCATTACCTCCTCCTCCTCCTTCTCCTTTTCCCTTTTCCTCATCCTCATCCTCATCCTTTTCCGGTTTCTAGCCAGCCATCCTGTCAATTCCCGTTGTCGCCTTCTTCACGCTCAGTTGAATGCACTTTTGTTCCTTCATTACCACGCCGCCAAAACGGACGAAAGGAGTAAAATCCTTCAGGCCTTTCGAATTCGGTTAGTTAAATGTCCTTTAAATGCTGTAGAACGACTCAACGTCTAATTTTATAATTATTATCGCATTTAAATTGTAATTTTATTACCAATGAAAGCGAAAAGTAGATAAAGTTAAAGCTTTAATTGAGTAATTGAAAAAACTGATTTGATAAATGCTCTTATAACGATTTTATGAATATGAATCTGGTAATGCAAAAACCAAATGTAAATATTATAAATCAAAGCATGCATTTAATAGTTTCTATGCCTGTTTATTTATTTGTCAGTAATTATGGGCAACTTTTTATAGAATTTAATGAATACTAGGCATACAAATTAAAATAGAGGTTTTATATTTGTTTTAATTAAAATTTATTTAAAGCGTTTGTTGTTAGTTAACAGTTATTTCAGGCTATTATTTAAGCAATTTTCTATAAGAAAAGCCTTTCCCCTTTTTCAGCGAAATTTTAAATTACGAGCCTCGTTTCCAAGCAGCCAGCTTATCAAAGCAGATGACACATGGCGATGGTGATCCCCAGAGCAGACATCGCATTAGACACACTTGCTGGCGTGTAATGCGGCGTATACGTAATTTGCCTAACAGGTAATTAAAAAACAACACACGACACACACCTGGCGGCCACCGAAAATTTTCATAATTTCACACTCAGCTGAGCAGCATTTTCGGTGCGGGAAAAGCGGATGGAATGGCTTCTAATCAAAAATCGAGAGTCCTTTTATCTATCCAAATATCACG